GCGATCAGAATGATGACGATGAGGAAGGAAGAGCGGAGACCCCAGGACTATAGTATCCTTCTCAGGCGAGACTTGCGACAAGAGGCTGCCCAGAGAAAACGATGTCATCGATGCGTATTGGGGTCACAGTCTCACGAATCATGACCGATGTGGGATGGCCCGCGGTGGGTTAGGAATGGTACATTGGTTACGAATGGAATTAGATTTTCGATGATGAGCGGCCCATTTCGAGCAGGCAGCGAGACAGGGGTCATTTGAAAGGCGGGGGAAGTTTGACGACGACGATGCAGCAACGGCCACGGCAGGTATGCAAGTCGGGGATATATTGACAGCTAAATGTTACACCGAAGCCGTCAGATAGAGGCTGATATACCAGTTTAGTTATAGACCCCGATGACAACCGTTATTGGGTATTCAACCCACCTTGATGGGCTGGCAGGACTAATATCAGGCCTAGGCGCCTTATGAACAGAAATAAGTAGAGTCATGCTATCAGGAGACATTGAGTGCTCAAAGGTGACATGTCGCGCTGGACAGGTTGGCATCGAGAGTGCAGATACCCAATCCTTTATAAGAAGGGAAGACCGAGTGCAGTGATGCAAGAACTATTAGTAGATTTCAACCAGAGCTTTCTACGTTGGGCACTCTAGAGCGATCTTTCGGCAGGCAGATAATAGGGGGCTTATTGCAGCAATAGCTGTACCAGTGAACCCCGCAGTCTTTGTCCCCGCAAATTGAAGTACCTTTGGTAGACCTATGTCCAGGCTTCCCTACTTACCTACCTGTCTAGGTATCTAGGTAGAACGGCACCTCAATGACGAGCCAAGCAGCTCCATACAGCTGCAGCTAGGTAACCCCACTGTCCATATTCTTGCAGTATGCTTAGGTACCGTACCTTGCGAGTAAATGGGCCTTGTCCAGCCCCAACAGCACTGTCAAAGGTAGTAGCATGATGCTTTGGCCATGCTAGGTAATACTACCCGGTAGTACATACCAGTAGAGGGGCAAAGGGGACAGTCCGTCCCCTCTCAGGTGTAGTAGTATATGCATGTGCCTGCATTCTGGGGTCTGCATCAAGTCAGGCTGGTGTAGTCCAGTGTCATGTATACATAATGTGGTTCAAGGCATCCTCTAGTATTGATTTCCTCATTCACATCTTTCTGCTACTCTTTCCTCCATCCATTCCCCTACCTTTACCTAACTAAGTGCTTTGGGTGATTTTGGGTTTTGGGGTTTGTTTCCCCTCTTCCTCACAACCAAGGCTATGGTACCTTGTTTGTTGTGATCTTATCATCACTTCATTGCTTGTTCACTTGCCCCTATTGCGACAATTGTTCTGGTTCCCCGAAGCCTCAGCCCAGGCCCGCAGTGCGTCCAACTACAACTCTCTGTGCTCCCTCCCCCGTAAGCACGGCGTTCTCCCCTGAGTATTGCACAAAGCAACAGCATACCACTGCAGCACTGGCACCGGCACTGATGCCGGCATTGGTCGAGCGTTCTTCACAAGCTTTTTGGGGAAAAAAGCAACTGCATCCACTTTCCTCTCCCTCGACAGAAACTTGCAAGAAAAAGAGAGAGTGCGCGTGTGGTACTGCATACGACACCCTTCTCTTCACCTCCAACAATCCCTTGGTCAGATAAATGCCGGCACCAAAGAACAGGAAGGTGGCCATCGTTGGCAGTCGGTCTGTCGGTATGTAATATTCTCTACGGTTGCCTGCGATTCCCTCTTTCCCTTGACCTTATCCTACAAAGGTCGAATGTTATTGGGCTGAATCAATGACGTATATTCTGCTAATCTTTCCTCCTCCTTTGCGCACAGGCAAATCATCGCTTGCAGTCCGGTTTGTAGACGGACACTTTGTCGACAGCTACTACCCCACCATTGAGAATACTTTCAGCAAGACCATCCGGTATAAGGGCCAGGAGTTTGCGACCGAGATTGTCGACACAGCTGGCCAAGTATGTCACCCCTCTGCTCCTCTACATCTCTGGCCCCGGCGGCGACGACATGACGATGCTGCATACAAGAGATATGGAAGCGATGCATTCGCTCCAAGAATTGGAGGCCATGGACAGGATACAGGCGTAACTGACGAGACAACTCACAGGATGAATACAGCATTCTGAACTCAAAGCACTTTATCGGCATCCATGGCTATATGCTGGTCTACTCGGTGTCGTCCTTGCCCTCCTTCGAGATGGTGCAGGTCATCCGAGAGAAGATTCTCAACCATCTAGTAAGGCGACTCTCGTTGCTAGCAACTACAAGCCGGCTAACTGTGTCTTGTAGGGCACCGAGTCTGTCCCCATCGTCATCGTTGGAAACAAGAGCGACCTCCGTCCTGAACAGCGACAGGTCAGCGCCGAGGAGGGCAAGAGGGTGGCGGAGAAGATCCAGTGTGGCTGGACTGAGGCGAGCGCACGATACAACGAGAATGTAGGAAAAGCCTTTGAGTTGTTGATTGCCGAGATTGAAAAGGCCCAGAATCCAGGCGAGGCGGCCGAGGGAGGCAAATGCATTCTCATGTAGAAGACACTCGTCTAGATGAAGACTGACTGCCCTCCATTCTGCAACCCAACAACTCCTGGTGGTTTCCATGTGTGTACGCTTACTTCGGACACCGTACAGTGTCTGGGCAACAGAGAGGCCACAGAATTGCATAAAACATCCGATAACAAGCATAAAAATTAGTACAACCGTGCATCTGCGGGTTGCAAGTGCTGGTGCTGGTACTGTTGCTGCAGCTTGAACGAAAGAGTCCTTCTTTGCCTTACCTCAGCTCACTCGACCGCTGCAAGGTCCCATCACGAAAACCAGGGGCCCTGATCCGACACGCCTCATCTTCCACACCCTGGCAACTTCTTCCCAAGCGTGTTGCGGAAAGCGACAAAGACACCCATCTGATACTTTCCTCACCTGTGCAGCACACCTCGTCTCGTTTTTGCTTTGTGTGAATTGCCTTTAGCCGTCCAGTGTTCCCCACCCCCATGCTTCATGCAGCAGCGACTGTTTGGGACAAACAACAGCCCTCTTTCTTCTTTACCTAGCCGCAAACTTTCAACGTCTCGGTGATAGCTCAGTGCTTGCTGCATTGCCCACCTTGCTCATATTTCAAGTATATTCAAACTTCCCACCCTTTCCAACAACTTCCGCCCGCCCATTTGTCTGTCAGTCAGTATCATCTCAAGCTTGCCTGTCATGGAAAACAGCATGGTATGTCCTTTCTGTGGCAAGGCTGGTAGTAGAGAGTACGAGATGCTGTTGGCAAGTATATTTCGGTGCTATGATACAAAACCTGATTAACGTGCTAACCGCTTCTCAGCACATGGAGACATTGCACCCAGAGGAAGACGGCTCTCAACGTCTCCCATCCAGTGTCCAGGCCCCGCAGGAGCATTTTGGAGAGTGTCCTATTGAGGGCTGTGGTGAGATCGTCTCTCTTGCCGAGATTGACTACCACATGGACCTCCACCTCGAGGAAGAACGCCAGAGTTCAGGCTCCCCAAAACCCCAAGCTACTGTAGAGCCTTCGGGTTCAACAACTGTTTCTGCCTCTGGTCCGATATCCGTCGTCCACGCTGCCAGTGATTCCACAGTGGAAAAAAAGAGAGCAGCCGTTGGGCAATGGAACAATATTCTGTCGATGCCTCCCGCTAATCCAAAGGCCAAGGAGGGGGAGAAGCGTCTTGGGGTACACTCCTCCTCCCGAGTGTTTCTCTTGAATAATTAACTGACACCATTTAGAAAGCAGAGCTGGGCAAATACGCCCACGAGCAACAGATGCCGGACTGGCTAGTTTCCCTCCTCCACAGAGGCGGTGAGGTCAAAAATGATGGTGAGTTTGCATACAAGCTGGGCGACTGAATTACATTAACTTGCTGAAGGAGTCATATCCGTCCTAGAGCAGCTTCTTCGACAAAGCAAATCAACGCAATACGCCTACTTGTGCAATACAGCTGTTCAACACGTGTCGAAGCTCAAGAAAGAAGGTACTGGGTTCCCAATAAGCCATTTGAAGCACTGTAAGCTTACTAGAGTATAGGGGGGTTTTGCGGCTATCGCAACATTCAGATGATGGTTTCGTATATCATCGGTGTTGACGCCCATGGCAAGGATGCATTCAGGGGCCGCTTGCCGACCATATTTGAGATCCAAGAATTTATCGAGAAGGCATGGGATCAAGGCATCAATTCGCAGGGTCGGCTTGAGACAGGTGGCATCAAAGGTACTCGCAAGTACATTGGCACACCGGAGGCAAGATACTCATCCGCGCAGGAACCAATTGTTACGCTGACTTGTGTGTCCTACAGGCCCAAGCACTCTTTGTCAGTCTAGGGATCCCGTAAGTCTATCCAAAACACCTGCCAGGCTAGTATGACTAGTTGACACGGAAGTAGATGTGTGGCTCAGGGATTCAAGGACTCCGAGCCAGGAAAGTCCGAGGCCAAGCTGATGTTGGCTGTCGAACAGTACTTCGGGCAGGGAGCACATGGTGAACCCTCCAAGGTGACATGCACAACACTGCCACCCATATATTTTCAACATGCTGGCGAGTGCTTTTGGGCTATGTTCTTCTCTTTGTCCTCTGCTAACAATCATACGTTTGCAGGCCATTCATTGACAATCGTTGGCTTTGAGAGGCAGAAGCACGGTTCTGCTAATCTTCTAGTTTTCGATCCCATGTTCCGCGATCCCCCAGCGCTTTCTCGCCTTATTGGTCAGACATTCAAGCACAGGTCGGCTGATGAATCATTGAAACCGTATCGTCGGGGGGCCAAATACCTCCGCCGGTATCGCGAGTTCGAACTTCTCAAGTACGCCATGGGCCCGATGAGCTATTCTGAACCTGACCTGACACACACCATAGACTCGATGGTCTAAAAACCGGGCCCGTTACCGCGCAAACCAGTGACTGATGTCCCAAGCACCCGATGTCTTGCTGTGTCGGGACTTATTGGCCATATGTCCGATCATCAAAGGCGCCTAGCGAGCGCGCTCACTGCTGAGCGAACCAGTCTTGTAGCTTCCTTAGAGCAAGACCACGGTGGGAGATATTGTTCTTGACGCTCTTATCCATCTCGGCGTAGCTATATCACATATTAGCTGGGCGAGCGGTCGTCTGGCTCATCGATGCTGTACTTACGTCTGGCCGTCATATTCGAAGATGGCATCCCATCCTTTCTAATATTAGCACCACAGCCATATGGAGAAAGACCAAGAGTACTTACCAAAATCGGCTGGGCCTCGGGGTGGGACAATCTTGCCCTGGTGTAACGTTGGCATCTTATGCATTGTTCAGCATCATGGGCTTGCGAAATAACTCACCCTCGTTCGCCCCTGGAAAAGGACAGGCTCATGACCGGGACCTGGCGAATAAGCGAAGGTGCAGACAGCATCGGCGGATTTATCTTCGTACGCAACAAGGAGGTTGTTCAGGCCCTGGTGGCCAATGGATTCCATAAACCATTTGCTAAGAGCCTGTCAGTAGCTCAAGTCATTCGGGCTAGGAGATTACTTACATGTACGGGCCGGGAAGGTCGTTGAGAGCCTTGAAGCAGAGGCAGGTATCCTCGACGAGAACGGGGCCTTGAATCTAAACCCCCATAATAATTCATCAACTAATCACATACCAAAAAGGTACAGAGGACCCATTTTCGCGGTGAAGGAAGTAACTCACTATTTCTGCTGCCTTGCGGCATTTGGCCAGGGTGACTTCTTCGACCGTACCTTGAACCTCCTCCAGGTTGACTGCCTTGCTCTGTACAGTGATGGCGGGCTCTAAGATTGCCTTGACTTCGCGCAATTTGTTGGCGTTGCCAGTGATGAAGTTGACCACCGGCGTCGTAGACATAGTGGGCAAACGAGCAAGACAAAACTCGAACAAATGAATGAATCCCAACAGTAAAAATATGTACCGAGTATCTCCTCGAAGTATACGACACTGGCTGTGAGTACCTATGTTGGTGTGTTGCGAAGGAGGTGTTTAACTCGGCACAAAAGGCTGGCATGCGTACGGCCATTTCATTGCATACAATGGGGCACATATTCCGATATATGCATATTTCATCACCTCTGACTGGGTTGAAGAACGTAAGATTGGAAGGCTAGTGGCAATGATAGGTTTCGTCGGGTTTCCGATGATAGCTTAAATAGTTCCACGCCGGAGCCAGTCGGAAAGAAGAGAGAGGTAATGGCATCAACCGCCTTTGGATCGGAAGACAAATGAACTGGTAAAGCATTACGTGCCGCGTTGACCCTTAATTCGTATAGTCTCTGTCCATTTACTTCGCTGCCTTCTCTATAACGAGCGATCCTTCTTCCATTGGTCGAGCCACGCCTCGACCCTTGAGATGTTGCTCTCCATTTCATCTGACGTGTTGCTCGTCAGTTCGACAACAATCTCCTCATCAAATGCCTCTCTGGCCTCCTGGAGCAGAACCTCCATGATTTCCGAGTCCAGGTTCTCCTGGAGCTTGGCATCCGAGTATTTTCTAAAAATCCAGGGTCAGTCGTGGGGCTCTCCTTGTCCTTTTGGCTTTGTTCTTTTTCACTTCGCGTTGTGCTGTTTCCTCTGGCCTAGGCACCAATATACATAGCTGGCAAAATGTGACGAGAGATGGAAGATGGGACTTTGGGGTCTTACCTTGCTGACAGACGGTCGTAGAGCGTCGCCGAGTCCACGCGCAGAACGACAACGAGGTCGATCCAGCTCTTAGGGAAAAGGTCGCATGCGTGCCAGTCGATTATATGGCCCCCATTCTGAACTTCTTCCTCAATGGTATCGAGCAACTGAATGTTGTCAGTACGTTGAATATACCAAAAAAATGCCTTGCAACCGCCAGCCAGCTCATGATCCCTGGAACCGGTATGGTCTGAATATCTAGTAATACGTATGAGCACATAAGATACGAAGGAGACCAACCTTATCTTCATCAACGATCCAGCTTTGAAACTCCTCATCCCAGCCCTCGTGGCATTCACTATCCTTCACAACTTGGTTGACTGAAAGGTGTTTCAGGCCTGTCCGCCTCGCAAGCTCTTCGCAGTGGGTCGTCTTGCCCACGCCTGGCGTGCCGGTAACGATGATGTTCGGCGATGTTCTTGCCATTTCCGGTGGTTCTTTAAAGGCTGCTGTCTTCTTTTCCCCTCCCTTTTTGGTTACTGTATAAGAACCTCGAGACTTTAGTGAACATGTGTATAACTCCTAATATGTAGTGAGTAGAAAGTACTGTGGAAAGAAACGCTCCGTTTATTGCATGTAAATGCAATGAGGGGCACTTTTCCACTGGAATAATATGCTTATCTTATCTACACCATCAAGTTTTTCATTGTCACGTGTGAGGGGCACCTTCTGTCTTCCCTCCACCAGCGGTTGCAGTTCCATAACCGCATGGCAAGCATGGCAGTCCCAGGAACTAATGAGTCCGATTATCAACCGTAGTTCCTTTGGGAATGTATAAGCCCCGAACCTCTTTTGAAAGGACCGAAAAGACTGGAACTGGGCACCTCCCTTTCGAATACCATGTCGTTCTGGCCCTATATCACCAACATTACGCGCCCAAGACACGGGTTAAACATGGGTAGACCACACTTAGAAACCACAGGAGTCATCTGTCGCTCAAAAAGTACTGCACTAACAAAGCATGTTTGTTTACATATATCCCTCTAACATCTTCCCAGTTCATTCACATCGTCGGCGATATCCATGACATCACTTTGTGCCCATACAACTATTGCTTCTCTTTACATTATCCGTACGGGACCTTGGTGACAAAGTTCCCAATTCTAACTCATGACAATGAAGTTACAGACACTTCGCCGCCCATGCACAAGCCGGCGTCCACTTGACAGCCTCATTATGTCAGTGGCCAACAAGGTAGCATACGACAAACGCTTTGCTGGACAGGCTCCTATGCCCAGCCTAGCTCCTAATGAAAGACATGTCGCTCTTTTCCTTCGCGCTCTTAGGCTACGCAAGGTTACGCGGCTACATCTTCCTCGTCAACTTCGGCAAGATCGCCGTTGCGCTCAAAGCCGTCTTCGGGGTCGTACTCGAGCTTCTCTTGTTGGGCGATGGCCTGAGCTGACACAATCTCGGCGAGACGCTTCAAGCGTGGGGTTTGGAGCCCTAGGGTGGCAATATTAGCAAGACTCGTGTTGACGCGGGCCGATGGATCCACTTACATGAAGGAGTGTAAGTTTCCAGGGCGGTGATAACTCTGGGCTCAGCGATCTCGTAGGGGCCACTGTCGTCCATGTCAACAGCCTGCAGCAGCAGGACGTCACTCTTTTCCGTAACGCGGGATGCAACGGCCTTCATGATCTCGCCGTTGATGGGCTGCTCGTAGTCTGCAACAAGGTACTGGTTCAGGAGCTTCTGGATCTGGTTGGGGGACAGCCTGGGAGGGAAAAGAGGTCATCAGCAACGGAGAATCGCACTCATGCCTGTCTATGTCTGCACTTACATCCAGCAGATATCCTGAATGATCTCAATGTCATTCAGGGTCGCCTTCTTGAGCTGAAGGAGCTTCGTTGCTTGCTGTTGGACGGATTAGCTTGTGTGGTCTGAGCACTAGTGAATGTAGTCTTTCTTACCATCAAGTGCTCGAGCTGGAGGGTACCCTCAGGCATGTCGTGGCTCTTGCACCACTCTTCGATACGAGTAATGTTGTAGTTGATCTGGAGACCACGCTTCCAGGAGAGGAAGTTGCGTCTCATCAAAAGATCGTTGAACGCGGTGACGCCAACCAGACGAAGCAGCTCGGTGATCGTCTGCGTGATGATAGAATCCTCCAAGTAGTACGCCTTCATGGCACGGAAAACGCTATTCAGCAAACTGAGCAGGTTGTCCATGCTGTAGGCCGGGGTCGAGTTGGACTGTAGAAGCTTGCCCAGGAAGCGGCTGCTCTCGTTAGTGACGAAGCCGGGGAGTGACTGGGACTCGATGATAGCCGGGATGATCATTTTGTGCAGCTTCTTTTTCAAAACCTTCATCCAAGTGTGGTAAATATTGAACTCCAAGCTTTCGAGATCGTGCTTGACAATCTCCAAAAGACGGTCATACTCATAGTTGTCCGTCTTCTGGGCTTCGTACCAGTCCTCAGCCAAGAACACAAAAGACAACATTTCGTGGACATTGGAGAGCCAGAAGGCACCTGGATTGATGGCCTCGTCGCCATCGTGCTGCATGACTTCCTGCTGGATCGACTGCATTACATTGGCGAGGAAACGTTCCGACTCCTTGACGAAGCCGTTGTTCCACATCTCGGATGTGACAAGGTTGATCAGGTACGAAGGGAAGAGAACCTCCTTGTCGGATGGTGGCGGGTTAGTGTTGGGCGATGGAATCTTGAGGTTGCGGATGAGACCCATTGTGACTTCCTCATTGAGGCCGTCCTCGTCGGCCAACAGAGTCTCGAGCTCGAGCTCAATGTTATCGACACCGGGCATGAAGCCTGTGCCCTGCAGGTTCTGTCTGTGGGCAGTGCTGGTGACGGCCATTGATACGGGCCTAGGGTTGTAAGCAGCGCTGAAGCGGTCGACCTCGCGCGGCTCAGCACCTGCACTCCTGCGCTTCGGCTTCTTGGAGGACACAAGGTTAATGAGACCAGGTGCGGCTGACGTTTGGGGCTGGGTAGCACCGTTTGTGAGCTCGCCGTTGGTGGGCGCAAGGCGTCTCGCCAATTCCAGCTGATCCTGCAGTTCTGCGAGCTGCTGACGCAGCGAAAGCTTCTCGCTTTCAATCTGGGCGCTCTGCTGGCGGACCGTCTCAAGCTCGGTGCTCGTAGAGCGCAGGGACTCCCTCAGTTCCCTCTCCTCCTCCTGCATCCTCTTGATGTTGGAAGTTGACTCTTCAAAGCTCTGTTGCAGCTTCTTCATCTCATCTTCCATCGCTTGCAGCCGAGCAACGGCGATACTGCCCTGGTTAGCCTCGGTCTGAAGTTCCTTCGTCCGGGCCTCAAGAGCGTTGTGGCGGTTCTTCCAGGCCTTGATCTGACCCTCGTAGTTCTCTACCTGAGATGACAAGTTCTTGTTTTGCGCTTTCATCGTGCCCAGAGATTGTGTCAACTCGACGACCTTGTTTTCCAGTTTGTATGATATCTGCTTCAGATCGCGGGCCTCCTCACGTGTCTTCTTGTAATCACGACGAGCAAGTTTGCCACGCCACAAGCTCTGAATGAGGGTTACCTTCTTCCTGTATTGCCTCCAGGCTAGGACCTGTCGCCGCGATCTCCAGACGCGTTGGATGAGAATAGCAGCATTGCCTACGCGGGTCTCCATGATTTCTTTTCGTCGAAGGTAACCTTTGGCCGCCGCTTGCGCCAGGACGACATTGTTCCTGACGCGTAAGTACTCCTTTCTCTGTCTTTGGCCACGCCAAACCCGCTGTATTGTTGTTGCGGCTTTGACCGTGCGGAGCTCTTGAACCTGTTTTCGGGCGTTGTAGGCTCTGACTGCGGACTGAAAAGTCACAATGGCGTTGCGAGCCTCAAGGTAGCGACGGCGATAGAACTTGGCCTTCAGGTTCTTCTGGATGAGAATGGCGCAGTCGTTGAGCCGGTTGGTGCGCAGGTTCTCGAGGAAAGCAAGCATGCCAGCACGGAAGAAAATCTTCGTTAGACCGAGCTGGTACTTGTCTGAGCCCTTGCCGGAACTGGTGCCAAGTGCCTTCGTGAGGATGGCATTCGCCATGTCCCGAATCTCCGACGTCCACAAGTCCGAGTTGATGAGCATGTAGTAGCGAAGGGCGAATTCCTCGTATGTCCATCGAGTAGGGTAGCCCGCGCAACTTATGCGCACAGTCTCTAGTACACCGCAAGCTCGTAACTGACTGAGGACCATGGGACCCTCAAACTTCCACGCCTCCTTAGCTTCATTGGGTTTGATGCATCGGATGTAGTGGACATCCGTGTTGTTGATGGTGTTCATAAGCTCGATCAATGACGAACGGAAAATGCCTCCCAGCGTCGGTTTTCTGTTGACAGCCACGCCAATCTTCCTACCAGCGGCAGGCTTCACAGAACTGGACGTTGCAGAGGCCACATCCTTCTCTCGCACAGCTGAAGCGGCGTCAAGCACATCGCGAAGGAACTTGTTTGTGGAGGCGCGAAGAACTGCCATGTGCTCGTCGGGCACAGTGTCGCGGTTCTTCTCGATGAAGCCCTCCGATTCGTAGGTGACGTCCACTGCGTAATGACACACGGTGAAAGCAGACTTGCCAAACCTTGGCTTCTTATAGAATTTATGCTTGTCGCTGCCATAGTTGTGATGGAGCTTTGTGACGAACTGCTCGTCAGAACCCATAGGGAGACGGGACTCTTCGTCTAGCAAGGACAAGATACCGAGCTTGCCTTCGATAAGATCAATGGCCGGCTGGTTATCTGAGAACTCGATAAAGGTCCAGTCAATCTTCTCCCTTAAATACTCTTCCTGTTCCAACTTGAAGACGTGCTGATTGAATTCTTGCTGAAGCTTCTCGTTGGCGTAGTTGATGCAGAATTGCTCGAAAGAGTTCTTGGCAAAGTGTTCGAAGCCGTAGATATCGAGTACACCAATGAAGGAGGTAACGCGGTTAAGAACCTCCTCGGTCGCCAAGCTGCGGTTGATAATCTCCACCAGCCAGTCGAATAGGCTCGAATAGATGAACTTTGCCACGGAATCACGGACGACGATGGCCTGGGCCTGCGTCAAGTTGGATGTGATCTTCTCGCCTCGCGTAACCAGCTGCTTTTTGACAATCCACTTAGCAAACTCGGGTCCGTTAACGCCTAGAATCGAGGAAGCCAGCTCCAGAGAAGGCTCAGTGGGCGCGAGGACACTATCGTTGCGCGACGCTCCGATCTTGATGTTTCCCAGATGCAACAGACCAGAGAGAAGCTTGAAAATTTCCGCCTGGTAATCGTCATTGACACCAATTGTCCGCAGAGAAGCCTTTGTCGCTTCAAATTCAGCCTTGTCGTCGACGCCGTCTATCGTAGGGCAATTGCCCTGGTTAAGGTACTCAAACTCCTCGATGGGAAGAAGATGAAGGTCCTGGCGTTCTTTGTCTGAAGCACCGGCGACGAGTTGGTAGAAGATGTGGTAGTTGCGCTCCTTCAGGGGCTGGAAAACCAATCTGGATCGCTCGAGGAGATAGGTTCTGATCTTGGCGCCGATGATGTTGGTTTTGTCATCGAACATGATCTCGATGTACTTGCCAAATCGTGACGAGTTGTCGTTGCGCGTCGTTTTCGCGTTTCCAAAAGCTTCCATGATGGGATTCGTGGCCAGGATTTGCTCTTCCGTTTCGCTCATAGCTTCGGCACCCTTCTTGGACCGAGTTCCCGGATTGTCAGGAGATTCTCTCGTCGCGAAGTAACGCATGATGTACTTGGCGCTGACCGTCTTTCCAGCACCTGACTCTCCTGACACGACAACGGTCTGGTTCTTCCCACTGCGCACCATGTCACTGCATTGTATTAGCGGACGCCCGAGACGTACCCTCAAGAGGCAATGGAATGTCGAGGACAGGTTGGCTCACATGAAAGCCTCTTCTGCAATAGCGAATAAATGAGGTGCTTGTGTTGCTCTCTGTTTGCCGGCATACACCTGCACCATTCCGGGAACATAGAGGGAATCTACTCTGGCAAAGGGGTTCGCCGCGATCAAGACGATACCACTGTATGTGTAGATTTCTTTCTGTGCATATCGAAGACGAATGGCTTGCAGGACTGCAAGAAGTAACAGAGTCAGTAAGCACAGCTGATCTATGGATTGTAAAAGGTGCAGGCCGTACCAGCAGGCTCGTTGAGATGGGACAAGTTCGTCAGGTCGTCGCTGGCCTCGAGCATGGTCGGGTTCATCAGAGGAGGCAGGGAGGAATCGCCTTTCTGGAGAGCTTCCGCAGTGACCTCAATGGTTTTTTCCTACAGCGGCTGTCAGTAAAGGGGCGCATGGAAATCGGCCGGAACCCAGTCCGACAAATACATGTATCGTACCTCGCCATTATCAAGCTTGAAGACCAGCTTAACCTTGGAACCATCTTCAGTCTTGTTGATGACCTCGGATGCAACCCAGCCCTCCGTTGTGTCGGGCTGCCACGCCCTCGTTCCGACGTCGTAGTTCTCAGACATTCTGGAGAAGTATGGAGTATAGTCGATCGAGTCGAAATCGGAGGTTGTTGCTTTTGGGGGGTGGGAGAACTAGTATGTCCCGGAGAAGAGGTGGATGGGATTCGGCAGGTCTAGGGGTAGGAGCTCGGGGCAACCGGTGAGATTCATGGGCGTGCGAGAATCCAGGAGCACCAAGAGGGATTGGAGGCGATGGCTACCAGTGATTGGTTTTGCCTGAGAGTTCCTCGGCGTCGTTATCTCGTTGGAGAGGACGAAGGAGAAGAAGCAGAAGATGGGTGGCGGAGGTACTGGGGAGAGTCTGGAGTGATAGAAGATGAACCAGCCTGAGTGCGGCCCGGTCTGGTCTTGATGGAGATGGATTGAGAGATGGGACAGGAGAGCGCGGTGCTCGGTGCTCGGTGCTCAACTACGGCTAGTGGGTATATGTCCAAAGTTGGGGATAGCCAGCTAGGAACCGTAGATTGCACAAAATGCAAAAGCCGTAAGTAGACGGGATAGATTAATGACAGTTGTGTGGGAGAGGAAGGGGAGGAGAGGGAAGATGGGCCAGGCGACGTGGTGCAAGTGGAAGAGATCGGGACAACTTTTTGAGGTTCCAGCCGACAGGGGCTCCAAGGAAAAACACCAGGGGAGGGACGAGCGCACTGATTCTTTTGGCGGCGCCAGTGCTGGTGCTGTTCCTGTCACTGTTGAGTGCAGCGTGTTGCAGTGCGTGTGTGTGTGTGTCAAGTACTTGCATGTTGTCTTGACATGCATCTGGCTGCTACTTCACTCGATAAGGTACCTAATGCCACACGCTGCTGCACGCCACCTTGGAGAAGGGGAGGGGGACGAGGTGTTCCCTGCTTTGTAACTCCAAATCCGTCCACTTGTTGCTCTTGTTGCTGCTTTGCCGCGTGCTTTGAGTAACAGGCATAGAACAGAGTGGGCTAGGTACTGAGTGGTCCCCTATTCCCCCTTCCGCAAGGTACATCACAGAGAAAATACACTAGACCGACCGCAACGTTAAGGGGCAGGCCAGGGAAGCTAAGATGCCTAACCCAGCCTTCAGCTTCTTTGACTTTGATGTGGTTGCCTGTACCTTACAGCAGTGCAAGTTTGGTTGGTGCCGATACAGATACAGACGGGTACAATGACTCTCACATGCCTCAGCAGCCCTTCAAAGGCTTGTTTGTATCAGGTAAAGATACTCGGCCAAGGACCAGCAAGAAGGTGCCCTGCATTACATAAGGCGTTGGTGCCGACCCCCTTTTCGAGTGGCCTCATGCACGAATCCTGAGGCATACTACATACACACTACTCCGTAAAGTGGCCAGAAAAGGGGACGGGCAGCTAAGCCCCACAGACAGTGTGACAGGCATGTAAAGGGCGCTGCAGTTCAAGCAAAGTAAACTACCTATAGCCCGTTCAGTTATGAGAAACGAGAGAAAGCAACACAAGGATTGCAGTGTAGAACTGCCATGGCTAATCTCAAGTAATCAATGAAAGACCTCCGCTACCTCCTTTGGCATCCACAGTGGATGGACGGGAAGGGAATGTCACAGTGGCCATATAGCCACAACATTTCTTGGACCATCTGTAGGGCGGCATTGAGAGTTGAAAGGAACCTCCCGAACCAGACAGCTGGGCTGGCTGACGGTTGCCTCGAGTCAATTCGAGCGTCAAGAGATGACAAGCTCAATTGCTGACATCTAACCTCAAGGGCGCACTTGGTGCCCAGGCTTGCAACGTTGCGAACTTGCACAGCGCACAACCATGTCAATACATTGGAAGAATATCGAGGTTACTCAACTCTAATTAGCAGACTGTGGGGGCACGAAGTCACCCTTTACTACCTTGATAGGATTACTTGTATCATATAGTTAGTCTGTATCAACTGTGCTAGGACAGTATCACAAAGGCCTCTCACCACTTGTTTCAAGAAAGGAAAAACCAAAGTTCTATTATAACGAAACCGAAAATAAAAAGGAAAATAACGTCAATCCAAGCCCGGCGCCTTCTCAACTTCGCGTATGCTATTCAGACTTATTGACGAACTGCGTTAGTGCATTACATTGAAGCGCTATATGAGTTGTGAAGGCCCGTTTCCCTTAGCTAGCCAAAAACGGCAACAACCGCATGAAAGAAAGAGAAGGGGTGCAAATGGGAACAACGAAACAACCGGCTCTCTCAAGCTTCTCTTGACCTGTGGCCTTGGCGCCGTCGTCTTTTCCAGCATCAGGATTACTGTTTCGTCCGAGAACAACTAAGGTAAGGGAAAGGACCGTCCAGCCTTCGTGCGTCGTCCCAAGGGACCGAACCAGATAAAAAGTAACCACAGACTCCATCCTCCAAGACTCCATGAACTCTAAAACGTCAACAACGAGCAGGCATGCCGTCTGGGGTCGTTTCTTTTCTCAGACCAGTATGGGCGTCCGGTTCATCAGAAACATGCCGCGCTGTACTACGTACTGTTGCTTGGGATTCCCCTAATTCTGGTCGGGAGCATTGTTGGAATGTACAGTGCCCTCCCACTGCCCTCTGGCGCTTTGGTCCGAATAATTATCACATCAATGCTTGTCCATTCAGCTAGCCAACCAGCCAGTCCACTCCTATTACTCTTCTGACCGCCCTTCTCCACGGCCCCCTTTTCCCGCTGGAGAAGGGTGCTCCCTCTCCCCTATTCGCCTCGCTCCCGGTGTACTGAAATGTTGATCTCGTCTTTAGGTCAGGACACCCAGGGTATTCTCCGCTGTCCCCAGCGTTCCCTGGCACGCCACTCCGTGACTGTTTGGCATCAGGACGGCTTCTCTGCTGGCAACTCTCCATATTTCCGTTTACCCTTCTTCTTTTATGTGGCTGTGGGCTGACTGGCACATGGTCTCTGAACCACATCAGCTACGGACGGCTCTTGGCATCTGATACGTGTCACTTTTGACACTGAAAAGAAGGTATTCTTCCACACGCACCCGCGTCAGGCATGAAGAAAGGGGAGTGAGTGCTCCCGCTGTCCAGTCTCCAAGGTCCGGGCTCGGATCCGCTGCATTACTATGCACAATTTCCGGTCTTGCCTCTGCATTCGCTCATTTCTTCACCGCTTTGCGGTCCTATGTATCCACTTCCTCCAGCCCCACCTTTTACCCAGCTTAGTCATGACCAGCATTTGCTACGATATAGATCAGTCAGTCTGAACCAGGGCCCAAAAACGCGTCACATCGTTGGCGCGTCCAACACTGTTGTAAGATTTCAGCTCCCTTTTTTCTGTTTCTTTATGTTTTTATATCATTATTCTTGTGCATCTTTTCGTCCCTTTTTCGTTTCTTTTTTCGTTTCCCTCTTTTCTACTTTAAATTCAAGTCGCCTTTGTACTTACTACCTAAGTATATTCACCTACTTCTTTGCCTTCAAGTTGATATGAATCCCGATACTCCAATATCCAAAGCGTCCGGGCGGACCCTGCCGACATGTTGAAATGCTGTCTCGAATTGCAGGGTCTCATCAGCCGCTATCATGAACCAAATTGTCCAACTTAAACGCCCTCCCAATGCCATGGCCAATTCCCCCCCTCTAGTACAGAACACGGGTCAAGATACGGGCTGTCACATTGTATCAGCAAATTTGTTGTCATCATAATACCGAGCTTTGCACTCACAGCCAAGAGAATCCAAACCATCGGAAATCTCTTTGATATCCTCCGCCTTGACATTGCTGACATCGGCCATCAGGTACGCAATCTGTGCATATGTCAGCAATATGATCCTGCCTCGAACGAAGTTTGGTGTCAAGACTAACATCGCCCTTGCTGTCGGAAATCTGCTTGTCGACGTTGTGGTTACCCAAAATCTCGTTGACTGTTGTCAGTCAGTATGTGTATGTGGACTTCATGGGTTGAGCTGTCGCTATCATCTTACCTCTGCGCAACACACCAGGAACGTTTCTGTGAATGTAGATGACCTAGTTACTCTAGTCAGCCACGTCAACATAGGTTTTACGACACTAAACACTTACACGAGCGTGGTCGGGCTCATCGAGAGTCAACGATCTCAGGTTGACCTCGGGTAGGTTTACACTGTTGAGTGTAACGCCTTGGTTTATGTAGCGCACAAGAGCTTCGGCAACTAGACCAAGTCAGCATCATTGCGAATCCCAAGCTCACACTGGCATCGACTCACCTTCGACGCCGATGGCTCGCTGAGCCTCCTCAGTGGAACCGCCAATGTGTGGCGTCAGGATGATGTTGTTCAGGCTACGCAGGTCCTCACCCCAGGAGTTGAGCGAGCTGTTGAAGTAGTCGCCATTGGCTGCTGGTTCGTTAGGGTAGACGTCGAGAGCGGCGCCGGCAATCTTGCCAGAGCGCATGGCATTGATAAGGGCCTGTATGTCAACAACGCTACCACGGCTGGCGTTGATCAGGTAAGCGCCTGTCTTCATCTTCTCTAGCTGGGCAGTCGAGATCATATTCTTGGTCTCCGGAAGCTCCGGTACATGCAAGGTGACAAAGTCGGCCTCCCCCAACAAGTTGTCCAATGTGGGCACTTGTCTCGAGGTACCCAGGGCCATGAGATTCACGACATCGTAATACACAACGTTCATGCCCATGGCCTCGGCCAAAACGGACAATTGCGAGCCAATATGGCCGTAACCGACAATACCTGGTTGCACATCAGTATGCCATCGGCGCATCGCACAGGTCGTTCTGGCGGGATTAGGATAACTTACCGAGAGTCTTTCCACGGATTTCCCAACACTTGGCACTGACCTTGTTCCAGGTGCCACGGTGCATTTCGTTAGAACGGTCACCAAGCTGACGGGCCAGAGTGATAATTTCAGCAATGACAAGCTCAGCAACGCTGCGCGAGTTGGCAAAAGGAGAGTTGAAGACAGCAATACCGTGGGCGGCAGCGTACTCGAGGTCGACCTGGTTAGTGCCAATACAAAAACAACCAACTACTAGCAAGTTCTTGGCCTCACGCAGGACCTTTTCGGTCAACTTGGTCTTGGAGCGAATGCCAATGACATGCACATCCCTGGAGTATCACATAGTGTGAGCAAGGATCTTGGCTACGTTTGGCTGTCGAGCCACGGTCGAAAGAAAGATGCCTACCGAATCTTCTCAATGAGCTGGTCCTCAGGCAGAGAGGTCTTGAGAGCCTCAACCTGGTAGCCCTGCTCGGCGAGAATGTCCTTGCCTGTCTGGTTCACATTCTCGAGAAGCAGAATCTTGATGTCTTGAGTGTCGAAGGGTTTCAGAAGCTTCGGGACCGGTCTACGCGTCAAAGCAGCGCCTGCAAAGCTAGAAGGAGGAGACTGAAAATTGACCGTGGGGGAAGTCGATAGACCCAAGCTGGCAGAAACCTCGAGCGTTTTGCTTTGAGCGAAGGCACCGGCGATATCCTTTGCTGAGGCCATGGTGCGTGACGCCTATAAGGTTCTTGGTTCGTTTTATATGACTGTGAGATTGATGGAGGGGCGGCACGATTTTTTTGATGAGGAGCAGTGAGAAGAAGTACACGAATGCGACGGGAAAAGACGTCTGACAGTGAGGTGAGTTTTGGGTATAGTATCAGAGACGATGAGCGGGGATTGCCAACGAGGAGTGGTGAGAGTTAAGGTCCGATCGCAGATTGATGTGTTCTGGAAATATTTATGAAAAGGCACAGTCAAATAAGGCGGGATGTCAGAGGGAGGGGCGTGGCCATTGAAAAATGTAAGTACCAAATTTCGGACTAGGTATCTTTCCCAGGCTTCTTCACCTAAAAAGTACTTCACTGCTTCCCTCTTGAGGTCGTTGACGTGCGCCGCCAGCGGCCAACTCCTTAGGCAATGGAGGGGCAAGAAGGAAAGACCTGGCAAGACAGACCCCGAAGTTGTGGGTTGGTAGCCAAGGACGCTACCACTCCAGAACCGCGCACTGTGTTGATACTAAGGGGGGGGGGGGGGCGCAAGAGAGAAAAACTTTTCCCCAGTGCTGGCGCAGAGGGAGGCATGGCCGGACCGATTGTCCAAATGCCACATGGGTCGTGGCGTCCTTGATAATTTGACCGCATTTATCCGTACAACCTGATGTAATGGACCCCCTGCGGCTCTAGTGTACTTCGGTGATATTACCTACAGCACCGGTTACGGACCCCTCTACCGCCGCAAACAATGCCCAAGCCAATACAATGCGGACATAGGTAGTGCATCAGAAAAGCACTCCCAAGTCAGTCGGACACCATTTGACACCATATCCCCTCAAAGCAGGCTCCAGAATTATTCAGCCATAGAACAAGCATGCAACCAACCACCCGGCAGTTTGAACCATGTTGCAAACCTGTGACTGTGTGACTAATTCGAAAACCGTTCCTACTTACTGTGCCACGCCCTAAGTTCACTTGCGCCGCGACGTCCGCCCTCCGACCCCGACACGGCAACTTGATGCAAACGGAGCTACCATTTTGGTCACCACCGCCGAGACTCCCGAAACCGAAATTCTTAACTTCCATCGCTTGCTCTGACTTCACCCTCATCGTGCGACTTGCCGTTATGTAGAGAACACCATGGTCTCTTTGACAATATCCATCCCTGTCATGAGCATGGCTGCAGGCACTGGATTGGCTTCAGATTACTATATTCTCAGGCTGCATTATTGTCGTCGGGTTTCCTCGACATGTAATGCAAGAGGGAAAGAATGCTGACTTGACCTTTTCTCTGTCTACTACCTGCGTTCTTGGTCTTCCAATACCCGTTTTACAAAAAAAGAAAAAAAAAAGAAAAAAAAGAAAAAGAAAAAGAAAGAGAAACTCAAAACACCCTGTCTACGAATCCTCTTTTAGCAGCAACGTACAACATCATTCATGACCAAGACGTAAAAAGTCGTCAAAAAAGCAGTCTCGGACCGAAATGTCAATTACCATCTATCAAGCAGGAGCTCGCCTGTCGGACGCTGCTCTGCTTGGCCCAATCCTTGAACGTGAAATGCTACCCTGGCGCGAAGCGTAACGTAGTTACTACCGCGCCTCTGTCAGCGCGAGAGAGCCACTGCCCGACCATCAAGTTTTCCTCAATCCAGACTGTCATGAACGCGAGGAACCTAGCAACAAAGTGACCTGTGCTTACGTCACTCAGCTCTGCTTGCACTCGGCCGCCTCCTGTTTGGGTTTGCCGGTGTCGTCCTGCATCCGTGGTTAGCATCTGTATTGCGATGTGCCCGCAATGTACTGCCTTGAGCTACTGGTAAGGAATAACCTACGTCATCCTCAGACTCCTCATCGTCATCACCGCCCTCGCTAAGGTCATCCTCGTCCTCATCGTCCTCATCATCATAATCACCCTCCAAATCGTCATCATCCAGCTCTTCAAATGCCAATGCCTCGCCAGTGAACCAGTCGATTGCACGGGGAATGAGCTTTTCCTTGATATCCTCGCCAAGTTGATAGTCGAGCTCCAGGCGCTCCTCGATGTCAGACGCAGCATCATCGTCCTCGTCGGCAGGGGCTTGGGGGGGCGAGAAGAAGTTGAAGAAAGACTCGGTGGGTACCGTCTTCTTGACAATACGGGTCTGCTTGGTGTCTGCGTCCGGGGTAAGCGACCATTGGCCGTCGTGTTGCGGCTCGTGCAAAACTTACTCTTGTTTCTCTGCTTCTTGCTCTCGACTCTGACCGTCAGATCCTTGCCCTCCTTCCACTCAATCTTGTCACCCTCAGCGTGGTCGTAAATGAAGTCGCCGCCGTAACCGCTCTCGTTCTGGTAGAAGTAGGTCTTGGTGATGGTCTTGTTCGTGAAGAACTCGTTTTCGGCGAACTCGAAGATGAGGCGGAAACCGGGCTTATCGAGGTATTCCATCCTAATGTCGATAAGGTGCTTGAGGGCGGCCTCGTCACGGTCGGTAATCATCTCGGCAAGGGAGATCTGGTTCTTCATGGCAGACAACCAGAACTCAGGGATACCAGAGACAGGCTCGGATGACTCGGCGGACTTGTCAGCCTTGTCAGTTTTCTCGGCATCATCGGTCTCATCGTCCACCTCATCGTCCTCCTCACCGGCCTTGATCTCCTCCTCGGATGGCTCAGAGCCTCCATTAACGATCTTGGCACGCTTCTCATAGAGAGGAGTGAACTTGGCAAAGTACTTCTTCTCAAGTTGGAGAACCTCCTCTTGGAACTCGGCCTCGAGCTTGGAGTGCTCCTTCTGGATACCCTTCAGGCCGGCAACGCGACGGCGCACTTGGGGTGGCAGCGACTCGATGTAACCGGAGGATCGGCCGACGAGGGATCCAAGTCTTCCCTGAATCATCTGGACGAGCTTAGGGTTCTGGGCGAAGATTGAGGCGGCAGCGGCGCGGTCAAAGTCCTCTGGGATCGAGGTACACCGTCAGTAACAGGTCGATAGAGGGGAATGGCAAAACGGGGGGCAAGGTTAAAAGAGGGGGCTGTTGTTACATACCCTCCTTGATGCTGGCAACGCCAGGCTGCTGGGCATGCGAAGAGATGGGTGCATTCTGAAGAGGGGTGTTCTGCGGCGTGCTTGAGACAGACGTCAGTGTTAACCATCGTGGTCGATTCCGGGGAAAATGAGTTGCCGAGGCGGGTGCGGGAAGCGATGCGCAAGAAAGCGACCCCTCGCCACTACCGAACAGTGCAGCAGATTTTGTTACTTACGGCGCAGTAGCCGGATCGAGGCGCTTGTTGCGAATAGGCTCAGCCATGATGTGCGTTCGACTCGTCTTTCTCGTGGTTGAGAGGAATAGGGTGATGTTGTGAGAGGCGGGGGATGAAAAATTCCCAGGCTGATTTGGGGGGGTTGAGGTTGATGGAATTGACAGGGCAGAGGACGCGGGTCCCGGTGTGGTAGGAGTTCTAGATTGTGCACCCGACTTTATTCTGGTGTTATTCTGGTGGGGGGAGGCAATATGCGGTGTTGTAAAAAAGAAAAAAAGAAAAAACAAGGGAGAGAGGCGTTTCTCCTCCTTCGTTGGGGCGGGTATTGCAACTGTCTTTCTTACCCTTACCTGCTTAGGCGCCTACTTCTGGTCATGATTAGGCGGACACAGCGGGTAGTGGGCTGCCAATAGATTCCGTTACGGCAACAGTGTGTAGGGGGTGCCCATGGGCTAGGCGGGCTAGCACCTTCTATCTTTCACTGCTGTGCTCTATGACCCCGGCCTTCAATACCCATAGTCATCCATCATCCCTACATCGTACATGTCGCCGGTCGGTACCCCCGCAAGGAGAGGCAGGTGCTGCCCCAGAGCACCGACGAATAATAGTACACGCTGTATACATAGGTAGGAAGTACCTATGGGGTTAACAACCTGAGACCAGTCTTGATCTTCTACAGTACCAAAATCATCAAGAGTATTTGCGTAAAATACCGAGATGAGCCAGGATCCCAATCAATAGGTGTTTGGGCCAGGTACTGTCGGTCAAGCGAGAGAAGAAAAAGAGTTCACCGTCCATTCAATGCCACGCCACATTCGCGTCCAGTTCCTCAAGTGGAGGCAGGGCCAGATACACACTCCAGGGGCGCCCTGCTGCAGCAACAACAGCGCATTGCATTGCAGCGGGGACAAAGCAAGTTCTACCCCACTAGACCAGAAAATGTCATTTGCCCTCTTCACCTTCGCCCATTGCAACCGTGTAACCATCCTGGCTTGCTTATATAATATATAGTAAGTCTTCCTTATGAAGACTAAGTCTGTGAGTGAGTGAGAGAGGGGCACTGCCCGCGGTCCGATAAGAGACACACCAATCGATAAGGTATGAATATTCATTAACAACCAATCAGTGATCTCATCTCCTCTAAAAGCACCTACTTCGGCGGGCCAGATGCGGCTATGGCAGCCTCACGGTTCCAAGGATTCTTGTGGCTAAGTATCTTGCCGGACTTTTCTACCTAAGGTCCCGTACCTGACCTCACGCGACGCACTTGGGATGCGCTAACCTCACACTCGCGTTATTCAACGGGGCGGCGCTACTTGGTTTGCTTTGCTCGGCTGTGAGCCCGAGTCGGAGAACAAACTACATAGCACCCCGATCCGCTGTTCTTTGCCCGTATTGCAGTTTCATGGTCAATCACAGTTCAATCAAGATCTATCGCAAGCCTTTCGACGCAAACGCATCGTAGGTAGCAGTTCTTCAACCTGCCTCGCTATCAACATCATCCAACCCTGTTGTCGACATCGTACGTTTGTTTCGCGGACATGCGCCCTGCTCAGCTCGCATACACCACCGTCCTTCCTCGGTTGCACCTTGCCCCGGCAGTTTGATACGCTCTTCCAAGTACAATCGCTCGAGCTGAACACCTTAATTCCGCTGCAGCGAGTACGTCGCACTAAGATCGCCAACATGTCAGCCCCAAGAGAGAACGGACACCATCGTGTCCCGTCGACATCAAGAAATGGCCACGCTCCACTGTACAGGCTCAACTCGAACCAAAGCAGCACAAGCATCTTCGAAGAGGTGGAAATGGCCCATGATGAGGTTAGATTTCCTGCAATGCGCACTACTACCACCACCAGCCATCCATTCATCAGATCTGACTCTGGGTATTCATAGCTCTTCTCCGGTCCTATCGCCGAAAGCCTTCCCACTAGTGTTTCTTCCTTCTCCCATCGCCGGCCTCGTGCAGACTCCACGACGAGTTTTACATACTACCAAGACGAGCCCGAGCCCTCTCCTACCTCGTATGACAACGAGGAACGCCAAAGTGTGTCCGACCCTGGGGACTCTACCCTTGGCGACGAGGATGAGAGCGACATTGATATCGAAAATGGGGACGTGGCCGACGACTACATGATTCAGCATAGACGATCTTCTACGCACTCGAGATCTTCCGTCCATGACCGCCTTTTGCGCCGCGACAGCGCGACCACTAGTAAAAGCATAGGCGGAGATCGTTTGAGTCAAAAGATATACATGGTGAACGAGGATCTGACTATTGCTATTGCTGGATTCCGGACTAGTCGACTGGGCTTTGTTGCGTATGTAGGACTCTGTCTTTCCACGCTTGGTCTTGCTTGGCTGTTATTGCGATGGCTTCCTCGCTGGCAGGTGAGGCTCTTGGGCAAACCGTCCCCATTAGCCGAGTGTGACTGGGTTGTGGTGGAGGTAAGCTACTGGGCCCAGCCAGCTAGACTGACCACTAACTTGCGCAGAATCAATGGGGAGAGTTTGCCGTCATGAACGTGGACAAGAAATTATATGGCAGGCCCATGTCCACCATCTTTGGCTCCGGTGAGAAGAGTTACGTGATGGATGATGAATACGATCCTATCGTCACCGAACTACGCATGCTGAATTATCGTTACGTCCGGCTGTACTTCAATCAGCAGAAGGACAAGTTTGTTATGTTCAATGGATGGGTGGACCCGAACTGGACTGATCCCCGCGCTGTCCGTGCCGGTATAGACAGCGACGAGAAGGGCTTACGGGAAGTCGTCTTTGGCAACAACCTCATTGATATTGAGCAAAAGTCGATATCGCAGTTGCTCGTGGACGAGGTTGGCTATCATCCATTGCCTGAAGTCGGAGCCAAATTGCTGACGTCTCCAGGTGTTTCATCCTTTCTACGTCTTCCAGATTGCTAGTCTGATTCTCTGGTCTCTTGACGAGTATTACTACTACGCCGTTGCCATTTTTTTGATGTCGTTTGGTAGTATTGCGACAACGCTTATTGAAACTAAAGCGGTGAGTTGGAACCATGATTTCAGAACTATGGCTGGATGCTAACAGGTCCAGACGATGAAACGACTTAGTGAGATTTCTCGCTTTGAGTGTGACGTCCGAGTTCTTCGAAATGGATTCTGTGAGCAATGTCAATCGCTACCACCTAGAGTATCACTAACAACAGAAGGGCGATATGTGCCTTCGAGCGAGCTTGTGCCTGGCGATGTGTACGAAGTTAGCGACCCGAACCTGACCCAGTTCCCAAGTGATGGCCTACTCCTTAGCGGCGATTGTATCGTTAATGAAAGCATGCTTACAGGTAAGCACTCACAGGGCATCCTCGAATTAGCATCTAGCATGTACTCACACCTGCCTCAGGCGAATCGGTGCCTGTCTCGAAGTCCCCGGCCACTGATGACACTATGTGCAATCTCGACCTGGCTGCACCTACAGTATCTCCCGAGATTGCCAAGCATTTCCTTTTCTGTGGTACCAAGATCATTCGGGCTCGACGTCCCCAAGAAGATCGCGATGGGGACGCCGTCGCCCTCGCGCTTGTGGTTAGGACAGGGTTCAGTACAACGAAGGGCTCTCTTGTGCGATCCATGCTTTTCCCCAAACCCTCCGGCTTCAAGTTCTACCGCGATTCATTCCGGTACATCAGCGTTATGGCCGTGGTAGCTATGCTTGGTTTCGTCGCATCTTTCGTCAACTTCTTGCGCCTACACCTGGCCTGGCACCTCATCATCGTGCGCGCTCTGGATCTCATTACCATCGTGGTGCCTCCTGCGCTCCCAGCTACACTCACGATCGGCACCAACTTTGCGCTAAGTCGGCTTAAGAAGAAGCAAATATTCTGTATCAGCCCTCAACGTGTCAACGTGGGCGGCAAGCTTGACATTATGTGCTTTGACAAGACGGGCACCCTCACAGAAGACGGACTGGATATTCTCGGCGTTCGGGTTGCCTCACCGGCCACAGGCAAGTTCACAGACGTACTCACAGATCCGTTATCTTTGATGCTTGACCGGTCCGGGGATTCATCCCAGGCATCAAGGCTTAAGGCTGCCTTGTTTACCATGGCAACATGTCATTCACTCCGATCCGTTGATGATGAGCTAATGGGAGATCCGCTTGATTTGAAAATGTTCGAATTCACGCGATGGTCTTTCGAGGAAGGGAAACAGAGCCCCAATGAGATAGATGACCAAGACCAAGGCAGTCTTTCGCCGTCGGTCGCCAGACCGCCTCCCGAGCATAGTAAGATATTGCGCCATACCATTGCGCTACGGGACCGATCGGTAGGTCAAAGACTCTGCTCCAGGAGAAACCACTCTTAACAAAGATAAATAGGCTCCATTCGAACTCGGGATTTTGAGGTCCTTCGAATTCGTTTCTCAACTTCGAAGAGCGAGTGTTATTGTCCGACAATTTGGCCAGCAAAGTGGGGATATATACGTCAAAGGCGCACCTGAATGCATGCGGGAGATATGTCGCGAAGACAGCTGTACGTGAAATAGCACCATTGTAGTGGCACTCTTCCACGCCTGTCAATGTTGCTGACCGTCGTTTCTCTTTCAAACAGTCCCGATCGACTACGATGAACAACTCGCCTACTACACCCACAAGGGTTACCGTGTAATCGGATGTGCCACTCGCCATATCCCCAAACTCAGTTGGGTGAAAGCGCAGAAGATGAAGCGGCATGAAGTAGAGGCAAACCTGGAGTTCACCGGATTCATTATTTTCGAGAACAAACTGAAGCCAACCACGGCTTCGGTGCTTGCCGAGCTCCTTCAGTCAAACATTAGCACAACCATGGTGACCGGCGACAATATATTGACAGCCATTAGCGTGGCTCGTGAATGCAACTTGATCAACAAAACGGCGCACTGCTTCATTCCGAGATTCGTAGAAGGTAAGTGGTGCATTTAGTTACCTTACGCCTTCTAACAGTCGGTAGGCAATGCTAGTGATCCCAAAGCACAGCTTCAATGGGAGAGCATCGACAATGGCATGTTCCAACTGAATGCGGAGACATTACTGGTAAATGACAACCTTTGCTTTAGATGCCCGAGCTAATCGTTCATTTTAGCCATTGCCTCCTCCAGCTGAAGTTGATGCGTCACTGGCATACAATATCAACGACATACGCAACTACTCTTTAGCTGTTAGTGGCGATGTTTTCCGGTGGATCGTGGATTTTGCGTCCCCGTTGGTTTTACAAAGGGTTAGTTGGCCTTTCGAAACCATATTCTGGTATCGGTAACTCATAACAATAGATGCTTGTCCGCGGTCGCGTGTTCGCACGGATGTCACCGGACGAAAAACACGAGCTGGTCGAGAAGCTCCAAGGTATTGGATATTGCTGTGGGTTTTGTGGCGATGGTGCGAACGACTGTGGTGCCCTCAAGGCAGCCGACGTTGGCATTTCACTATCAGAGGCGGAGGCCTCTGTCGCAGCCCCATTCACATCGCGCGTCTTCGACATTAGATGTGTGCCTCAGGTCATCAGGTAAGTGTGATAATACCCCGTCCTGGTTACACCTGCTGATGTTGATCGTAGAGAGGGACGCGCCGCTCTTGTGACAAGCTTTAGCTGTTTCAAGTACATGAGTCTGTACTCGGCGATTCAGTTCACGTCTGTCAGCTTTCTCTATGCCACGGCGTCAAACCTTGGCGACTTTCAGGTCTGTTGCCGTGTTCCACCGCAAGTGTACGACTGCTGATCAATTCTCAGTTTCTGTTTATCGATCTGCTGTTGATTCTGCCAATTGCTGTCTTTAGTAAGTCAAGCCCGGGCGGGTGTCTTCAATTTGGTATACTGACTTATATTTTAAGTGAGCTGGGCAGAACCGTTTCCTGTCCTGTCACGAAAACGGCCAACGGCAGATCTTGTCTCTCGCAAGGTGCTCATTCCACTGCTCGGCCAAATGGCCATCTGCATTCTGATACAGGCAGTTGTATACGCGGCGGTGCGAGCGCAACCGTGGTAAGCAGGCGATATGCCGGTGATTTAACCATATTCACGTTCGCTCACAAGAAACAGGTATATTCCGCCCCAAATCGAACATGACAAATCAAATATCAAGAACTCGGAGAATACAGTCCTGTTCTTGGTGTCTTGTTTTGAATACATTCTAGCGGGCGTCGTACTCAATGCCGGCCCGCCTTTCAGGGAACCGGCGTTGAAGAACTGTAAGTATTGCTAATCTGTTATAGCCACCCATTTTTCTAACCAAACCCAGGGCCATTCATGGCGACCATTGCGGTAACACTAATGATCACACTGTACATGATACTCGGGCCAGCGCACTCATTACGGCATCTAATGCAGCTTACCAAAACGAGCTGGGACTTTAAAATTTTCATGATCCTTTTGGGAGGCGTCTACTTGGCAACGGCGTGGACATCGGAAAAATATATCTTTCAGAAGCTGTCTCGGGCGGCAGGTTACTTCAAGGAGCGGGTTTTAAAGAGACCCAAGCAGAGGAAGGAGTATAAGACGATTTTGGAAAGCATGCAGATGTAAGAAGGTTTGAATGCTTCGATCGCCTCAAGGCTACGGTCGATCTGGTCGAGCGTCTTATCAGAATACATCAGACCATAGCATTGGAACTGCATTGGGGTATGTACTTGTACTGTTGCGGCGATTGTAAATTGTCCATCGTCATCTTGAAATTTAGCATTTGTGCATCTCGGTTTGAGTTGCTTTCCTATTATTGATGTAGCAGGAGCCATTACCCAGAGTCATAATATAAGGCAGCGTAGCGCAGGGTAGGTAGGTAAAAGGAAAATGGACGTGTCATTGATGGTCCACAAAGGCCCACACCCCGGCTCCGAGTCATCGGGGCTGGTTCAAGCTGTGTTATGCAACCTGCCACCCCAACCACCGCGATTGCCGAGTTCCCTAGCTTTGCGCTGGTTGAGAGAGTGTTCTTATATCCGTTGATCAACATATTACCTCCCGTACGTCTCCATCCATGAAACAAACAACCTTGTCCAAGTGCCTTTCGTAACACATCCAATACATTATTGTCCTGTGTGCTCGGACACCCCTTCCCCTTTCGAAGCATTGGACCATTCGACATTCCTGGACCCAGTTCACACAAGCAGTCAAAATAAACATTGCAGTAATCACCAAGCCGAACTCGAGCATCATCGTTGTACATCTCACCATCGCTCAAACTATCAGGCTGCTTCTAGTTGATTTAAATGCAATATGAATATGGGTAAGTCTCAGTACCCTGCCCATGCTAGTGTCACTGATAAGACAATCCACCGCCGTATGACCACGGTGATATTTCTTCTCTAACCCATTGACCCAGACTGGATCCTTGACAGCGGGTATTTGCCCCATGCCATCATCAGAATAGGCATTCGGCGACAGCTTCAGGAGCGCCTCGACTCCATCGCGAGCACCTCCCTCGGCCTTGACTATGAGCGCAAGATGGCCTTCATCGAGAAACTTCGCACCCAGCCTATTGCCATTGAGACTGCAACTGCCAATAAACAGCACTACGAGGTTGGCACCGGGGTCCTTGCTGCGTGTTTGGGTCCTCGTATGAAATACTCGTGCTGCTTATACCCCAAAGGCGGCGAGACGCTCGCCCAGGCCGAGGTGGCCATGCTGCAGACCTATGTCGAAAAGGCCGAATTGAAGGATGGCATGAGTATTCTGGATCTTGGGTCAGTTGCCTCTTTCTATTGTTATATTAACAACCTGCTTCAACTCAAGTGGCAGAAGATATAACGAACAGCCCAGCTGACTTGATGTGGCCAGCTGTGGTTGGGGATCAGGTGCTCTATACTTCGCCGAAGTTTTCCCCAACTCCAAGGTTACAGCCTTTTCCAACTCCAAGACGCAAAAGGAGTACATCGATGCCAAGGCCGAGGAGAAGGGACTCACGAATCTTAGCGTCATCACCGGCAATGTCGTTGACTACGAGTTTGACCAAGAGTCGTTCGACCGAGTCGTTTCAATTGAGGTATGCATTCCCTTCACTGCTCACCCTCTGCAATTGAACCATTACTGATGAGGAACAACAGCTTTTCGAGCATATGAAGAACTATGAGCTCCTCATGGCCAAGGTCGGACGGGCACTGAAGCCTGGCGGCAAGCTGTTCGTTCACATATTTGCCCACAAGACCACGCCGTACGATTAGTAAGTGGCAATAAGACGATTCTTAAGCCTCCGCGATAGTTGCTGACCTTGCAAACCCTAGTGAGGAGGGCTGGATGACCACATATTTCTTTACCGGAGGCACCATGCCATCGACTGATCTTCTTCTCTTCTTTCAAGAGGACCTCAGGATCCGAAAGCAGTGGTGGGTCAATGGCCATCACTACTCCAAGACGTGCGAGGTCGGTCTCTTATACTAGTTTATTTCGGCAATCTGGAGTCAGGTTCACAAGGGCCAACAGCTGACACTAATTCCATAGGACTGGCTGAGCAAGATGCTCGCACACAAGAAGGAAATCTGGCCACACCTGGTCGAGACATATGGGGAATTGGACGCCGGCGCATGGTATAATCGGTGGCAGATATTTTACTTGGCGTGTTCCGAGCTGTTTGCCTATCAAGGCGGGGACACCTGGGGCGTCGCGCACTACCTGTTCGAGAAGCCCGGCAAATAAGTAGACAGACATGGAGTAGAGGTCAAGCAACGGATTGCGTTCAACGTTTGCGTTCAACGTAAATCTAGGTAGGTTGTGCGCATAGTAGAACAATCATTATCCCTCCCATTTTAGCGCATCTAACCAAAAGTACTGGTGTAAGATATCGATTTCGTCGCCGTTACCGCTTTCTATGCGAACCCGCAATCAACCTGCTCAAAGCCCTTCTCGTCTCGAGACCTCTTGATTAGTGATCCCAAGGATGCTTCCAGCCCAACAACACGGGTCCTGCATATCGTCCGTCAGCACGTCTCTGATTGTAAGGGGTGTACCAGATATGGAGCAAGACAAACCGTCCTTCTTCGCGCGGTACATCAACTGTTGATGATACAGTGTGTCAGTATGTCACGGACTTTCGGAGTCGTCGTTGGAAGCTGTAGGAGAAGACGCACGAAGAACCACATGCCAGCACCCAAGGCAGTCGCTGTGAAGCGGTAGATGCCAGGAACGTGAGGCGTCGGAGGCTTGGGACCAGGGTACATGGTGACGATGGTGGTTTCGCCCAGGCGCGTCTGTTTTAGGAGAAATATTCGATCGAAAATGGTGAGAAGAGAGTATCCTGCAACTGAAACCGTCAGTGGTGCGTTCGGAGGACTCAATTGAGTGATATCTGGTAAATAAACAGACCTTGAGTGTCGTCTTGTCCACTGGGGGCTCGGGACTTCACGGGCAGGATATGTCGAGAAGCTCAAGACGTGGTGATAAGTGCCGGGTAGAAGGTTGATGGAGCGTCGTTCGAGAGCGACAGGGTGGAAAGCGATTTGAGCTTTCTATGCTTAGGTAAGTGGTGCCGAGACGGACGGAGCACCAATGGTGAGAAGTACATTTGACAGTGGCCCCCTTCGCTACTTCTGTTATTTTCGGTACGTATCCTGCCTCTGCATGTTACGTACCTACCTAGGTACCTTCAACTAGATACCTATATAGTGGAAACACTCTCCGCTACAGTACTTCCAGAGTTCGGGGCGAGCGGGGCCCTGGAAAGTCACTAACAACCCCCAGAGTGGGGTGGGTTACAGGACTCTCTCATTCGGACCTGACAAACCCCCCAATTGATTATCGCGACGTACCTTTAGAGCCACCTATCCCGTCACCCATCCCCTTCAGCACTAGTTACTTACACTTCCTTTGATCAGCCAAGGGACTTAACTCTTGAACCATACAATTGATACTTTGTTTATTTTTCTTTTTTGTTCTTTCTCCCTAGTTACCGCCTCGAAACCCGTCCGAATCTCACACTTGTGGTTTCGTCGTTGTCATTTTGCAAACCTTACCATCCTCTTGTTCGTCACTCTGTCAGAAAACCGGCCTCTCAGCCTTGGAAGCGAGCCATTCGAAAAAGGATCCTTCACCACCCAATCATCCATCATGACAACTCCAAAATTCAACTCCAAGTCGCCTACAATACGACGCATACGTGAGAATCCCCTGCAGACTCCACTACTTCACTCAGATGCCTGACTAACCTGTTGGCTCATCCAGTACGCGAGGCCCAAGAACTCTCCAGCTCCCCATCGCCAGATTACACAGCTACCCCGATAGAATCAGATTTGTTTGAATGGCACTTCACCTTCCGAGGTCCTCCCAACTCGTCTTACAGCGAAGGCATTTATCATGGCCGCATTGTGCTGCCGCCCACCTACCCCCTGCGCCCGCCAAGTTTTCGCTTCCTGACCCCGAGCGGCCGATTCGAGACCAACCGCGAGATCTGCCTGAGTATTAGCGGTCACCACGAGGAGACATGGCAGCCTGCCTGGGGTGTGAGGACGGCACTTGTAGCGTAAGCCATCGTCCCTGTCGCATCCGAGCATTGCCTCGACTAACGAACAATAGGCTACGCAGTTTCATGGAGACGGACCCCAAAGGTCAACTAGGCGGTCTCGAGACAAGCGACGCCGTAAGAAAGCGCCACGCCACAGCATCACACACGTTTAAGTGTCCAACATGCGCCAAAACGAACCTTGAAATCATTCGAGACTGTGAAGATGCTGCCAAAGCGAACGCCGACTCGTCCGGAATCACGGCCGAAGTTGAGATCCCATCAGAACTGAAGTTGGGTTACAAGGACGAAATGAGCAAGACTGAGACTGGTTCGGGAGGTGGGCAGGCATCGCCAAACACAGCGACTGTAGTACCGGAGGCTTCAACACCGAGGACTGAAGCGGTGGAGATGGAAAGCGCCGAGCTGGCGGAGGGTTTCGTTCGTACGGTGCCCAAGATAAATACAGCGGCGAGGACGGCGTCGTCTCCACAACCTTCGGCACCATCTTATCCCCCCGCTCGTCCGGGACAGGGAATTCCAGCGCCTACGAGGACGGTCTCGCTGCCTCCGGCTCCGAATGTTGGTGTGCGGCAGCAAGCTCCTCCGGCTGCCCGTGCGCACGATGAAGGCGTGCCGCTCTGGATTGATCGAGCGATTGTCGTACTCGTCGTTCTTCTACTGGCTATGATTTTAAAGGCTCTGCTTGATTTGTAGATGAAGGGCCGGTTATGCTGTTTTGCCCTTTCTCCCCCTGATTTAGTCATTATTCTGCTTTCCTTTTGCTGTTATGGGATGTGGGTCACATTTTCCCACCGAAGCCTGCCTGGTGGACAGCACGGGCATGATGTTTGCTTTATTTGCTGGCGTTTGATTGTTGTTTTCAGCATGTTCACTAGCTTCATATCAAAGGCTTTGATACTCGATATTTTGTGGTAATGATTTATCCTTACGAGGGCCGCCGTGCGAACCACCCGTTGGCACAACATCCAGCTATTTTAGACACCTGCTGAAGTCTTTGAATCCTCGAATCTTGTCCTACAGCACGGACTAACTATGCAGCACTGATTCGCTGCTTTCCAATCAGTAGCCACCACCACTCGCCGACTGTACAGCTTACTCCATGTGCCATTCCCTTCAACACACCGTTGCGCCTTCCCCAGTCGAACACCATTTGCACCTCGAACTCCAGCAAGTATGGCTTGAGCACGGCGCAAACAGACGGAACATCCAGAGGTCCCCGTGTTGCGATAACAAACGCGACCGCACCAAGAACCTGAGACCAGCGGTCTATATTCATTTCTCCAAAGAAGTCAGACCACAACGGTATCGCGCGATTATGGTTCTCCCTTAGAGGCTTGTCGTTCTTGGCCTGCCGAAGGATGTCCAGGTCCTCGTCGTAAATGTACGTATCGGTCGGCGCGATCTCCAGACCAAAGTTGTAGTACGACTTGGGGTATTTTCTGCTTTCATAGTTGCCGGGATCGAAACCAAGGGGGATGTTAGGTACATCCACCGTGGTGATGATGACTCGCCCATTGGCCTGCAGGTTCATCATGGCCATGACCTCGCCATCTTTCAACACGTACGGGATACGAATCTTCTCGCCCCGCCGGAAGCTCCCGTCAAGTTGAGACTTGAACCTAGCAGCATCGATAAATTTGACCTCGTGAGTCCACTTCATGAACCGCGGCAGGAATGTCTCTGTGAGGCGGTACGGTCGGCCCTCGAGGGCCTTAAGCTTGCTATCCGTGATCACACCCTGACCTTGAAGGATCTCGACCGCCTGCTCGAGTAAGGACTGAATGCGGTCCTCGTTACCGCCCCCAATGCTCGCCATTTTTTTCCTGATATCCTGAGGCGCGTACCTATCGCGGTGAGTGTAACAGAGAGAGCGTAGCCATGACATGGCGGTGACAAGATCGTCAGTTTCTGTTTTTGACTCTATTTCTTCGTCTCTCCTGTCCACGAAAGAGGTTGCTGGGCGGGAAGTTGCCGCCTCGAATCGGTTGAAGACGGACATTTGGAAGTTGTAGTAGTCGTCTCGCCAGTCGGTGACGTCCGTCCATGCCGAGCCCAGAGAATAACCCCGGTCCAGGGCAGCCTTGTTGGCTGGTAGTTCTTGCGAATCCTCGATCAGGCCAGCCGTCCACTTGATTAAACGCAGCCAATCGTAATCAATATAGCTATCGAAATCAATGGGTGGAAACACGTTGTTCTCATAGGCGGAGATGAACTGGACCTGGAATCGCTCCGTAAGCTGGTTGATGAATGTGCCCCGGTCCTTTCGAGCCTTCGACCAGAATCGCCGCATAGCGCTAAGTGCCATGTCAGGGAACAAGGTCATCATTAGACCCCATTCGATAATTCGATCAGCGCCCCCTAACAGTGTTCTCGTGACAACAAACGCTGCAATTAAAATGGTTTCATTCGTCTCATCAAGCCCGGCATTGCGTTTCGATACGTCCCTCAGATCCATATCCCTAGGAAGCGGTATAAGCGTTCTGACTTTCAAATCGATGCCGACGACAAGCTCCTTTGGCTCGGTTGCTAGCTTGTTCTGTCGCCGCTTCCGCCTTCTTTGCCGACCAAGTTCACCACCCCAGAGATGGTCGGTCGCTGTCGTCGTCTGTTCTGATATTTGTATGTCGAACAGGGCAGATGGGCTAAGCTGGTTCGCAGGATCCCATTCTAGTGGCGGGTTCTCCCATTCGCATGGAAGGTCACCGACGCCATGGTTGATAAATATGTGATCAGGAGCAATCGACTCGGCCAGAAGAAGCTTCATTCCCTCGGTCGACAGCTCCCAGTCAAAACATGCGTCGACCTGTTCGGCAAATTCGGAGTACTGACTGCTGCTAGTGAAGCTGGCTTTGGGCCGACCGCGCCACTTGATCATCTCGGTCAGATTCTGGGGCAAGTTTTGCCTCAAGAACCATCGAGAGTCCGGCATCCAACCGGCAATCGTTAGGCTACGGTCCCTCATCTCAAAGAAGTTGTCGTCGTAAATTGGCCAGGTGCCATTTTTGCCCATAATTACATCGGCATCAGCAAATGCGAAATTATGGTCGTTGATGGTGCTACCTTTCGCCAATGCTGCGGGATACGTCGGCTCTGGATCTGGCCGAACAGGTATCAATGCCTGATGAACATCCTCTGAAACTTCTCGTTCCAAGTAGGTATTGGGACTTAGGAAAACGAGTCGAGGAGAAAAGCCAGGCTTCCCGTCTTCCGGCAAGGCGGAAGGCCCGTCACCTGCCACCCCCCGTCCATCCATGAAAATACGGAAAATGTCTTTCCTGCGTTTGCCATCAGGGCCTTCGTCCTCAGCGTGGGTAAGCTGCTCCTTCGTGACCATCCTTCTCCTGCGCTTCCTGGGGGTTTGGATGCCTTCAGGGGGGTGACTGGTCTTTCATTGGCAGCTTTGGTGGCATAGAATGGAGCGTCGAGAACCTCAATCCCCTGTACCAATTTCCTGCGACTGGAAAAGACAGGCTGAACGTCGTGCTTATGCTCTTCGGGAAGCCCTGACCTAGGTGTAAAGGCGGATGGCGTGTAAACTCCTGGATGCTCAGCAACAATGTTGGCTTTCATCGCTACACCCGCTGGGGACGATGCTTCGACTCCAGGTATTCGAATCAGCTGGTAGTTTGCCATCATGCCTCTCGAGTCCTTGAAGGCATGGGTGCTGACCACTACCTGCTTCTTCTTGGCCAATCTGGCCAGAGCATCCTTATAACGTTGATGATCTGGAGCTTCTTCGACAGGAAACGCAGCTTCCCACATCGCCATGACAGCGTACCATAATGACTGCCCGCCGGCAAAAACTCCGCCATTCGCACGGAGGATATACAAGAGGGTCCTCTCCATGATCTCGAGCTCCGATAGAACACCGTTATCATCAAGACTAGCCCTCAGTGCTTCAGCGTGCGCGACTTGGGAACCGCTCATTCCCGACGAGGGTGCTTCCCCGACTGCTACCGTCCTGGAGTTCTGATTGGTGTGCCGCCCAAAGCGTGGCTTGGCAGAGCCTGAATATGAGTCTCTCGGCCCAGAATTGCCATGAGTTCTCTTGTGCATCGATGGAGACGGCTGCTCAAACTCATCCTTTCCAGCGAATGACTGTCTATAACGCCCCACAGAGGCATGTGTGTCGTCAAAGTTCGTGGCGTCCTCTGCCCGTGACCTCTTAAAGGCTGGCTGGACTGGCATGTGTTCTGATGGCACGTCTCTAATTCCCCCAGCAGCGATATCAATTAACCCGCTCATGGACGCCCGGATTGAAGATAAGTGCGGACTTGGAAACGAGACGGAATTGGCGCTCCCACGTTGTCTGATCATGCCCTTCCTCGCCCCCTGCCTGGTTTCTGAATATCTGTTGGAAGATCCTACTCCAGAGCGTCTCATGACTCTGCCTCTGGCAGAACTGATGCTAGTAGCCGAATCGATCGCCAAGATTGAATCCTCTGGAATTTGTTCTATATCCTGATCATCATCATTGGGAATTCCAGCGATAGCCGACGACTTTGAGTGGCGAGACTGGATCTGCCGAGGAACGGCGACTGCTCGTTTGGCTAGTGTGGAACGTTTGGCTGTTGGAAACAGAGCTTCAGGAGGTCCGGATAGCGGCGGGATATAGTTTGGGTTGCAGGCTGTCTTCGATTTCTCAAGATGGTACTTAATACCAACGTCGTTTTTCCACGTTCCGCCACACTTGTCGCACTTGAAGACCTTGGAGCGACCGCGGCCCGAAGACTTCATTGCATGATTCTTTTTGCGGCGTCCTCCGCGTTTTGCAGATGACTCTCCAACCAGGCTGTCTTCCATGCCCTCAGCATTGTCCATGTCCACATCTTCCCCTGAAGGCAAAGAAGCTACCACAATCGACTCTTCAACTGCTAGAGCGTCAATTGAAACTGTGGCCTCTTCAGTTGAGGGGTTCCCTGGAGGCGTTTCTGCTGCTAATAGAGTTGACGAATGAATAGCTTGATCCAAAGTAGTGTGTGTAGTATCGGTGATTTCCTCAGTATTGATGACCTTCTCGGGGTCAGAAGAGGTGTCGACTTCGTCCTTCGTCTTTGCGACTCTTAGAATACTTGACAATGCAGAGGGATCCATCTTGAGGGTAATCATCAACGATGTCGCCTCTTTTTCAGCGTATTGTCTTCTTGAACCGCGACGGATAGAAAGTGGAGGGGTTGATCCAGATTCGTGCCCTGAACTGGCCCTTCGCGAAAAGCCACTATCGACCATGACACCATCTTCGGCCTGCTCTGATACCCTCGCCCGTTTCGAACAATGAGGCCCCATTCCTCGGCTTTCTTTGGTTTGTGACGATTCCGATACCTCAGACTTTCTCTTCGAGATGGCATTCAGCCCCCTACCGGAAACATGGGCAAGGGCTGCCAAGCCACCGGCAGCTCGAGGAGTGTCAGGGAGAAGAGCCGGATCTGTGAAAAGTGCTGCGAAAGTATCACCAGGGACGGCGTCAGCCATGGAATGGTCATCGGTTTCTCCATCAGCTGTTTCCTCAGCAACGATTATCGTAGAAGCCTGCTGCGAATTCCTTGCAAAATACCGATATTGCTGAGACTTGCCCTTCCGATGCATCTCGCTCGTTACTTGGAAGTGCCTCAGATGTTTGGGCTGTTGTGTTGGAAGAGAGACGGTCGAAGAAATTGAGGACAAATACCTCCGGAATGACGATCCCAGCGTAGAGTCTCCTATCTGCTTATTGGAGAGACCCGCAGCGCCAGCAGCCGAGATGTTATCGAAAACGATTGTAATCAGAGGCTTATCTGGCAACCAGCTGGACTGTGGATTGATGTGCTTCTTATTAGTGTTGCGACGGAGACCAGATTCAAGGTTTGAGGAATCGGCATTCACATTCGTGTCTGCCAGACCGGACCCAAGGTCCGCATCGCCCAAGTCCGCAGGTGAGAAGGAGATGTTTTTCTGCTTGCCTGTAGCAAGATAGGCTGCCCAGTCTTCATGCGTAAGGTCGTGGTCGAATTTGAGACAGTCCTTAAAGAGCTTGCCAGATAAAGTGGCACCTACGTACTGGACAGCCCCAGTCTGGACAAAAAAGCGGCAGGTTTTTGCTGCCACTTTCATCTGCCATCTCAAACCTAGAATGCCCAGCTTGCAACGTAGGTCGTGATACCTGATGATTCCGAACGCCTTGACGACAGCCATGATTGTCTGGGCAAGAGAAATGTAGTCAACTGAATCCCCATTCCACCTATCACGCCATGGGACGGGTTCCAAATCGCGTGCCAGAGTATCCCGAGACATATCAACTGTTGTATGCAGGCTGGCGGCCGCCTTGAGCGGGTTTGTCGGAAGGGCAGGGGCAAAGCGCGTTAACCACATCTTGCTCGTCTTGGTGCCCCTGACAAGAGTCGTGCGCTTCGAGATGTATCCTTTGTCGGCGAGCGCGTCTGTTCTCTTGGGCAACGACCGTTTGTCTTGGCCTACAAGTCGACCTAGATCGCCCTGCAAAATGCCCTGCTGCTTCGTGGATGCGATGCCAACTAAGGCCATCCACTCTAGTCTCGGGACTCTTCGGTAGTCGGGCGCGTGTCCTGCGATGGCTTCCCACATACGGTCCTCGGCAACATAGATTCGGGGTCGCTTCCGCGGAAAATCGTTTCTTGTGATACTTTGAGATGGCTCCTTTGGCTGAGAACCATCCGGCGCTGCTCCTGGGGCTTCTCCCGATATACCAGGCGCTGTTGACCCGCCCTCAGAGTCGGGGTCTGGCACAGCAAGGACATCGGATAGAGCTAGATGGTTCCATTTTCGATTCGCTCCTACAGAGATATCCTTCCTTGCTCTTAGCCAGTCCCAGGCTATCGACCAGAGTAGGTGTTCTGACTCTGCGGGCGTTGACTTCAAGGGGAGAGCCGCCGATACATTTTCCCGGAGGCTCGCATCTTTGTAGAACGTGCGAAGTGCTTCAAGTACATGCGACACAGTGCATCCTATCGTCTCTTGTCAGCAAGCGAAGCCATGTACCAGATAAGAAATAAGTATGAAAATCCAAGCTTCTTGAACCTGAAGATGGAAGAGGCAATGGATTTTTGCGATAGTTATTTGCACTTGTAACAACATAATCGAGAGGCAGATTAATGCTAATGCGGACGGGGGACGAAATTGAAGCCAAAATGAGAGCAAATTCTTTCGCTCAGTGAAGCAGCAGGATTCACTCACCCAGGTCACCGTAACATGAAATGTCGGTTATGAGTGACTCTATCAATCGCTCAAGGTCGCGAGACATTGTGGCCGTCGGTAAAGTTCTAACATTCTTGGGTGGACGGCCTAATGGAAGAAAAAAAAAATGCGCTGAAGTTGGGCGTGAAGGGTCGACGAGGGATAATCGAACCTGAGACTTTTGAAAATGGTGCTCGGAGCTGGTCGGAAATCTCTGGCGGGTTTTTTTGTGCCCCTTCACCCATCCCTCTTTGGCGTTTGGGTCGGGGGCGAGTTCTACTGGGTTGGTTCGGTGGAGAGAGGGGACGTAGTGGCAGCACGCAGGTGCAGCGTCAGGACCTCCATACGGGGACCATTACCTAGGTAGCTAGGTATTATCTGCTCGCCACTGGAGAGGTACTGAGACAGCTGAGGCCAGATTGTGGCTAACATTGTGGCTGGTGCTCCAAAGTTAATGTGTACGACGCTGTATCGGTGGTCAGTCTTCTTTTGCTGCGATCGGTGGCACGGACCTGAAACTCCGATTGTGCCTCGAAATCACTCGGCATATCTACCTAGATATACAGGTACCTTTGGGAAGAAAGAACGGTAAACCTAGCAGCGCACTAAGCTGTGTACACCAGATTCATTCGACAATGCAGAGTACTACTTCGGGTATCTTATGTATTGGAAGTAGAAGTTTTAAGTAGCTAAATGAGCCAATTTCTCCTCCCTCTTCTTTCTGTATGATGAGACCAGTTGGTCTCGGATCCCCTGAAGCTCCTCGCGTCTTCTCAAGCTCCCTGCAGACTTTGGCACGTTGGATACATCGACTGCAGCACCGCGTACCAAGAGCTTATCTCGTCCAGCCTTGTGAAGCTCTGGAGGCGCTTGCGCGACATCATGAAGTCCTACCTTGGCCTCTGAGCGCATCTTCTTAAGCACCGCCCAGGGGTCCTCTTCGCGATCTGCGCCCTTGCCCTTCTTGCCCTTCTTCTTCTTGTTGCCGTCCTGGCCAGGCTCGTAGAAGGCTGCGGATGTCTGACCAAAGTTGCCAAAAGTACCGCCGTTGATCTCCTCGTCCAGCTCGCGCTCGGCAATCTCTTCCATCTCCTCTTCTTTCTGCTCTTGGATCTTTCGCTCCTCCTCTCGCCACTGGTCGTAAAGCTTGTGCATCTTCCGCTCCTTCCGCGTTTTATAGACCTTAAGTCCAAGGGGATCCTTTCCGCCCCTTTCCGTCTTGTTGACCAAACCAGCCAGCGGCAGAGCAGCGTTGACACGCGCCGAGAAGTCTGACATCTTCTCGCCCGGACGGATGGTTGGCACTTCCGGCTTATCGGGATGGCCACCTGCTTCGTCTCTCTTCTCGGCCGCGGCGGCGGCTTTCTTGGCCGCCTTCTTCTTTTGATTCAATGTTTCGCCGTTATCGAGGCCGGATCGTTGTTTCTTGCCGGATGCCAGCGCCATTAGGCGCTTGAACGCTCTCGGGGCGTCGTCGTCTTTGCTACGACTCTTTCTCTTCTTGACCCCATCGTTTTCTGTCTTTGGGTTCTTTCCGTTCTTTCCGTTTTTCGCAGCGGCAGCAGCCAGAGCTTTCCGACTTCTCTGTTGCACGGGCAACGGTCTCGCGATCTGCGATGGAGGAAGATCGAACCTGCAGCGAAGAGTCAGCATTGGTCATATTGTTCGGAACAGGCCGAACCTACGATGCGGGATCGTGGTCCCTTCTTGTGTGCTTGTGAGGCATTTTGGAGTGACTTTACCAGTAACTGAACTATTCAGTCAAGGAAACAGTCGCTGTCAAGCTCCGCCAGTGAATTGAGGCGGGCATGCGAGTTGCGATACATACGATTAGTGGTGATCTGGGAACTATTGAAATTTTTGGATTATGTCAGCACCGATAAGAAAAAGTAGTCCGATAGCATAAGGGTGTCCCTCTCATTTCGACTTTTGTCCCACTCAATGAAATCAACTCCCTGTGGTCTGTCTACTATGTACTAGTAGTGTACGTATTTGCGGGGCACATTTAATCTAGATTAGATGCCGGCCAAGCTACAATAAGTGACTGACTGGGAGGGAAAACATACTTGATGGTAGAGAAAGCAGCCTTGCATTGAATCAGATTTATTTGTATGATAGTATTTATCTAATAAATGTTGAATTGTTTGTTGATATACTGCTAATGTTTTGGTTAGTGGTATGAGAGAACTAGAGTGTGGTCAGTTTTTTCCTGCCCCGGGTGCGGGGATTAGATGCAAGGACCCTAGAGCCGATCCACAGTCGAGGTTGATCACAAGCGGGAATCCCACAATCTGGCATCTTGGCACCTGATGAATGACAGTTACAGGACATGAACTGGCTTTATCCCGATAGAGGCTTGGAAACTTTGCTCGAGACCGAGGCACCTGCCTGCAGAGATTCAATCTCCTCAAGTTTTCTGCCAGTGGTTTTTCACTTCATCTCTGCGGTATCTAGACACTTTATTAGAAAAAATTCACAATAAAAACCAGAATAAAAACCAGAAACACATTTATTTGCCTAAGCATTGTTCGACCCCCGAGGGCGAATGCCTAGGTACTTTGCTCTGCTCGACTCAGCAGGGTTCCAAAAGCTGGAATGCCCAAGGGAATGGAAGTGAAGTGTGGCAAAGAGCTAGTACTTCTACGAACTTGGTGAGGGTGGAGCATGCTAAGTGATTTCAGGCTCAATCGTTTTGGTCAGTCACGGAGACGCCGCCATGTCGAAGCCGCGGCAAGGGCAGCGAGACGCGATTCGGTCTCAAACAAAACAAAGAAATACTGTAGCAGTGGTCAAACTAGTAGGGTTTTTCGTTTCGCATGTCGGTGTTATCAAACGGCCGTTGACGAAGAGGGGACGAAGTCAATTGTGATCGTCTGAATATGTGACACTGAAGGACGTTTTCGGGTGTGTCTCAGTGTCGACGGTTAATGAGTTTGCGTACGTATTCATTCGCCTTGACCATTCCGTTCCTCTCGTCTCCTTCAGGCGAATACTTTGTAAGGATCAATCGGGCGGCTAACGGCCAGGTCGAGTCGTAGACACACCCGCTCACAAACCTGTGACTGAATGGCATCTGGTTGGTGTTTCTGGCTGGACGACTGAGACGATGTGCCGCACGACTACGACGTCGCCAACCGTCGGTGTGTCCGTGTTCATTTTGAGCGCAAGGCGGTGATGACATTTGCAATAGTCAAATCTGGCCTAGGGTCACAGTACATAGCGCTTGGTTAGGAGGAATTTTGGGGATGGTCCAGTGTGGTCCGGTGCGACGCCAACGTGAACTGCTCATCAGCCAGCGGTGATGCAGTGGAAAACACCGCAGGGGAGCACAGTACAGCGCTTTGTATCCTATCTACTTGGTGACGTGGTGCGCGCGAACAGACAAGGTATATGGAAAAGAAAGGGATTCGGGAGGCGCTTGGTGTCGATCTGGATGGTTTATCCGCCTATGAGCTGCGCCACGTGCCTGGACAGCAATGGCTTCACTGATGTTAGCGTAAGGCGATGCGGGGAGAACGAAGAGAGAAATACCGGTACCCATGTGAGACCCAACTCATTCAAGTATGTCATACGTGCCCCCCACCTTACAGGGTGGTTCCACAAGGGGTTAAGGCAGCGCTGGCACGGGCCACGTGGGGACACGATGGCCGGGAACAGGTGCAGACGAGACGGCATACGATAGACCATTGAGAGACTCGTATCGGTGGCAGAAGGTGCATCTGCTAGACTTAATTAGAGGTCCAGACGTACCTGGGCTCCTCTTTGGCCCCTGTGCTTTTCTCTCTCTCTCTTTTTTTAATTTTTTTATTTTCTTCAACATCTTCCCTTCTCATCTTGTTATTCCTCCCTTTTCCAGGCATGGACGTAGCACAATACGTCCAAAGTCCCAATCACTTGCACTCCCGTGCGGCACTGACTTGTCTTGGCACCTCATGTTTCTCTTATAGGTGCACATCCATCCCTGTATCTCAAAACCTTGGGAAAGGGGCTGGAAACGCATTTACTTGTATCCGTGCAGACACCACGAATCGTTTGGTTGGCATTTCGTACGGGGCATGCCGGTGGAGGGGCAGGGGATTCCCTTGTGGGCCAGGCCCCGATGGACCCCCTGTCGCCATTCGACTGAGGCACTCCGGCACAACGATGGTGATTTGGGAGACGTACCGACTAACCTTAGTTCGGGGCTCTTGTTTTGCTGCTAACGGCAACAGGAACTTGCTGCGCTCCCGCAAGCCTCCACCCATGCTTGTTTCTCCTCTTCTGGGACTGACTGGCCTCACTTTTCTCGAGGGGCCTTGTTTGCCTCGGGCGTCTCTCCAGGTTTGCTTGCCTTGGGGCACGTATTTGAAGCCCTGACACGATGCGTCTGCTCGTGTATTGCGTATGACTGAGGGATGTGATACACGCACGCATAACCTCTGCATGCCTACAACAGGTACTCCGTACTCTACATTCAGATTCATCCTCGTAGTCGCATTCATTCATCCCGGGCCTAGGTGCCAGAGACATTCCCTCGGGCACCCCGCCCCCGTCTTTGGAATAGCTAAGCTCATGATAGAGTTTCTTAGCGACTCACCCCTCACCATCTGCCAGTCACATGGGTGAGTTGGAAATGCTTGAAGGTGCCGTCGGCTGACTAGCATTAACACATTTTGTTTTCTCTCCATCAAGATACTTCATTGCGCCGCCAGTCGCTGATGAACCAACCACCCAGGCAACACGCACTTGTACCTCACACGCTTATTGTTCACACACGCACACACACACACACACACACACACACACACACACAAATCACATCTTCTGGAACCACACGCCATATTCGACGGCCTACAGCACGGGGTATTGCCCTCATCTTCATCACCCACCCCCATCCTTCTTTTCTGACACTGTCCACACTCCATCGTGTAGCTCTTGTCCCGCTCAGACCCCCTCGGCTCTTCCAAAAGTCTGTTCTCAACCATCCGACCCCTGGTCATCCCTATCCATGCTCGGATCTGCTTGCCGTTTTAACCTTTAAATGGCCTTGCCCATCCCGCCCTGCCCACCTCGACTCGAGGCATGCCCGAGCCTACCTTACGGCAACTGACAAGGTTGTTGCTGGTTTCCCTTTCGCTCTTGAAGCAAGCAGCAGCAACACAAGCTTCAGGGCCACTCCGATAGCTCCTACTATATTTGGTGTCTCTTCTCCACGACTCCTTCGTCCCTCGGTCTCTCTGCAAACGGTGCCTCCCTTGATTATTATCACCTTTGTTGCTGCCTTCTTTGTTTGCACAATCCAGCCACCACCCCCACCCCCTTCTCCTTGCTTAGGCCCCTCACCTAAATCTTTCCTCCATCTCAACTTTTGACGGACTTATATACCGCGTTACAACATTCGGACTTCTGCCACACTCAGGATACCAGAGGTAATTATCAGCTAGTTGCAGCCACGGCATGTTCTCCCGATAAGAGATTACTGGCCGTCCACGATTGCGCCCAGCGACACCGCAATATCCAGTTTGGACAAACAGCCATCACCTCTTACTTGGAGCGCGCTGAAGCTTCTTGAGTACCCTCTGGTTTTCAACAATGCCTAACCCGGGTGACACCGGCATTGACGCCGTCCGCGATCGTTTCCGTTTTTTTTGGTCCCGGGACAGCAGCACAATTGCCCGCTACAGGGACTCATCTGAAGATGAGGCGCCACCGACTCCAGCCGAGAGCTACACTTCCGAGGACGGCTTACTGCCTCCTGCCCATATGATGCCGAAACAATGGACACGGAAGCGCTCTTTCATCATGTGCGGCGCTGTCTGGCTGGCTATGCTGTAGGTTCTTTAGTCAATAAATATCTTGGGTTTTACTAATGCCTCAACAGATTGATTTTCATTCTCTTGAACTTGGTTCTGCTTCTAGCCCGTGAAGTTTGGGACCATACGTCCGGGGACTTTGGAGAGGCGAGTCTCGTCGTGCCCATCCCCTGTCACTCCCACAACGATTACTGGAGAAAACGTCCAATATACGACGCGCTCGAAGCAGGTTGCATTGGCATTGAGGCCGATGTTTGGCTATATGGCACCGAGCTTTTTGTCGGCCACAACAAGTGGTCCCTTCGCGAAAAAAACACCTTTACCAATCTCTACATCGATCCCCTTGTTCGAATACTTGAACAACGCAACGCGAACCTCAACAACTCCTTTAAGAGAGCGCCCGAGGGTATTTACGAGGCGAATCCGGTGCAAACAATGATACTTCTCGTGGACTTAAAGACAGGTGGCCCCGAAACCTGGCCGCAGGTGGTGCGTCAACTAGAGCCCTTGCGCGAGCGAGGGTGGTTGACCAAGGTCGTCAATGACAAGATTCATTACGGGCCTATCACCGTTGTCGGCACCGGGAACACCCCTTTCGAGCTAATTACTGAGAACTCCACTTATAGAGATGCCTTCTTTGACGCCCCTCTTCTCAAATTAGATGGCCACGATTTTAACCCTACCAACTCGTACTATACCAGTGTCTCATTCAAAAAGGCGATCGGTACCGTTTGGTTTGGGGACCTGACAGAGGCGCAAATGACGAATTTGAGAAATCAGGTTAAGGAAGCCCACCTACGCGGCTTGAAAGTTCGGTACTGGGATCTTCCCGCGTGGCCTGTCAGCATCAGAAACCACATATGGGATGTACTTATCCGGGAAGGCGTTGATATTCTGAACGTGGATGACCTCAAAGGCGCCAAAAAAGAATGGGACCTCAGAGGATGGCCAAAATTCACTGCGAATTCGACGATGCCTGCCTGACGGATTATACGCTGGAGGATGCAGCATATCACCATGTGAGCTATCAGCACCGACGCAACGCACCACGGCTACTTGAAGCTTCAGGCTAAGTTGCAGTCAGCCTAGCCATTCGCAGCGTTTCCGAACAGCAGATCATCCGGAAGTATCCGTCTTGCTTCCGCATGAAGTACTCTGTAGGAAATGCGACTTCCACTAAGTATGTGAAGTGGTCAACACGTCCAATACAGTTCGCAATAGGTATAACGGATACCACGAGACACCACAGAATATACCCACTCGACGACACTACTCGTATTCGGCACTGGCAGCGACTCACAGCATTGGTCGGCCAACCCGCAACTTCCAGCGGTGGGCTCACAGCGCGATAATTCGTGTCTGCCATGGTTTACGCAGTTTTTTCTATTTTGTTTTTTTGGAAGAATATCGACTATTAAGTTCGGTCGAAAGGAACAGAGAAACTGGATATGTTATCTCTATAGCTGCCAAAAGAGAGAGGCAAGCATTACGAGCCAGCTCCTAAAAGCCCTCGGAACTGCGTAAAATAGAGCGTAGTGTTTCTATTAGACAACATTTAGGGGGCGGAACTCAAGGGGTGCACCAGGCCAGTAGCTCCAGATCCGCCCGAGAAAAGCCTTGGACGTGCTCACCAGTGGCCGGGCCGTCCCCGCTCAGCTCCGTGCATTCCCAGGAACCCGTCTGGATGAACAATCAATCCCAAAACGACTTAGTCATCTTCTTTTGTTCGGGATTTGTGAGATGGACATGCGCCATTGTGTATGAGTGAAGCCGAAACGCCGTGTTTTCTCCGTAGGGGACGGCGTCGGCCTCTGCAACCGCGAACAGTAGACGCATCCCAGACTGATGTTTCCGTGAGCTCATGACCCCGCATTATCCTTGAGTGACCTGATTGAATGACGTTTGGACGCGATATATCCGCACAACCCCGTAAAGGGAACCTGCGGAGTATATAACGAATCGTTGGACTTACGTCTCATGCCTATCTTTCATAAAAGCCACATCTGAAGCCTGCCATATTGTTCCGACTCGTTCCAGCACTACAGACGAATTTTCTTCCGAAGTCCAGACTTGCCATTAATTCGATCTTCTTATTAGATAATTGACTTGGCACATTGTGGTCTCAATTCATATCTCTAGCCACCATGTCCGGAAAGCTCGCAACTCTGGATGTGAGTGAAGCGGTCAACACTTGGGCAAAGTTCCCTGCTGACCTGACTGCTAGCCCTCAATGGCCGACCGCCTTCCCCCTCACTCACAGCACCTCTTTGATGCCAAGGCGCAGAGCGGCCACACCTTCGAGGCCATCGCGAAGCACTTGGGCCGGAGCGAGGTTGCTGTGGCGGGCATCTTCTATGGCCAGGTGCAAGCGTCGGACGAAGATGTCGAGAAGCTTTCAGAACTCCTCGGCATCGATGCCGCGTCTTTAAAGCCTAAGCTAACTGCCTTTCCCGACCGCGGTCGCTCGGGACCTATGCCGCCTGTCGAGCCGCTCATCTACCGACTATATGAGATAGTACAGAACTACGGCTACGCCTACAAGGCCATCATGAATGAAAAGTTCGGCGATGGTATCATGAGCGCTATATGCTTCAATACCAATGTCGAGAAGGAGACGGACGAGGCCGGGAACGCATGGGTCGTCATCACCCTCAAAGGTAAATGGTATGTACCCTGCTGATCCACACTGAAGCCATTTATTGCTTCTGGAAACTGGGAAAGGTTGTGTTGACTGGCAGAAGGCTCCCGTTCACCCGCTTCTAGAGCAAGGGAGGTAGAAGGTGTTGGTCTGCACATGTTTGCTGCACGAAGCAATGCGATTCGACACTTGCCACCATTGCTTGTCAGTCAGTGTCGGCCGGAAGACGCATGGAGTAATAGGATGTGAGTAGTGTTGGAAAATAAATAACTGCAATGACTTGAATTTCCGCCGTTTCCCCTGTCCATGTCTTATTATGCCACTGCAATAGCAGACTTGCAAGCGAGAAGGACGCAAAGCACTGTTGGCCGTCGTTGCTCAAGCTGTAGCAGTCTGGTTTTAGGGGGGGCTAATATTAGACACGCAAAGCATCACCTCCAATTTTCAAACCAATGTTACAGCTAACCACGCCAACCGCCTCTCTGGCTCAGGCGTTACTGCGAAGGGCGACTTTCCTTCTCTCATGTTATAAAAAAAGCTTCAACAGGCCATCATTGAAAGATGCTGCAAGGGGTGGGCATCAAGGCTAGAATTTCCAGAACATAGAAGAGCAGCTTACGAATGGTTCACTGATAGAAAATGCGTACAACGAAAAGGAATTCAGATGAAGGCGTATCAAATACTTCAACAGTTGTCGAAAAAAACAAACAAACAGCGATTCGAAGAAAAGGCCTGACAGGATTCAGCTGTCATGGCTCTCCCTTCGGACTCCTCTTCAAGTTCATCCCTCCAGTGTGACCCACGTGGTGAACGGTTAACTCCCAACAAATACGTTCTAGGAAAAGAAAAGGAACTATCTCTTCAAAAGAAACATACATACTTGTGCGCCCTCGCATGCGGTTAGCAAAATATGTACTACTCGACGAGACAGCCACAGTTTGAAGTCGTAAGACTCGATTACGTGTCTCTGACGGCCAGTCAAAGAGGCTGCTATTTACTCGGAACCCTTGCATCTTCCACTTGCATCCATGTTCTACCGCGGTAACCAGATGCTGAAAGGATGATTCGGGTAGAGTAATTGTTCTGCCCGTTAAAGACATGCCGTACTCTGACTTACGGGCCCCAAAGCCAAAGATCTCAGCCGCATCCGTCTAGGCACACACAACATATGCTTGAAATAGTGAAACAGTACATATCTAATTGGGAGTATGACTTATGAGGAATGCAGGAGCAGCCTGGATAGATAGAAATAAAAGAGCGAATGTCTTCCCACAGTCTCTCTAATATCTTCAAACAACATACACCGTACAGCATCTATTCTTTTCCGGACAAACAACCAAGAAGCGATCCTGAGCCCGCATTTTCAACTCACCAATATGGATTCTGTTCCAGCGTTTTGCGAGATCAAGATGAAGCCCAAATCAGGCACTGGCGAAGCTGCTACCCCGGCGCAGAAGAACACCAATCAAGGGGATTATGGTGGAGCTACAATTCTGGGCTGTGTGATCCTCTAAAGCAAAATAGAGTCGAGACAGACTCCCTTCGTTTCACCCGTCACGCTCGCTCGCTACGACTAAAGTCCGAAGGACTTGGTCAGGGGATGAAGCACCCAATAAAAGAACCGAAAAAAACATGAACCCAGCCTTTGTGCCCGCCACATGGCCCAGCGTGGAATCGATATACTTCAGTCCACCCGAATATTTACATTCCTCACCGGGAGATTCATTTCCGCTTTAAAGCAATGAAGGACCCGTTCAAATCCGCCACCATCCTACCCCCTACCCACATCACTAAGACGCAAAGAATAAAAACCAAGAGAAATAGACGAAGGACGAAAAAGGAGTGGCGGAGTTGTTTTTGTTCCTAACGCTCACTAAATTCGAAAAGTGGATAACTTCTTGACGGACTCGTTACTCTGGACGAGGTATCGTACGGCGGGCCAGACTGCTCCCCATAGCACATGGACACCAAGCAATTTCGAAATATTTGGACCGAGAATAAAGCATGTTCTTGTTGAATGCTTTCTTATGC